CCCCTGAAGGAGAGTCGCCCTCAAGCGTGGCCCACATGGAGCAGCGCAGCCAAGGACATGCAGCCAGGCAGCATAGACAAGACTCTGCCCTCATACCCCATCATGCAGTTCATGCTGCAGGGCTCGGGCAGAGGGTGTGGCTGCCATAGGGCTGCTGGGCTGCCTGGGCGATCTGCGGCGGGCCCTGGAGGCGGTGAGTGGTCCTGTGGGCAGGCGGGATGGGGGATTGGGGGCAGAGCGGGGGTGGAGCAGGGGCAGGGGCAGGGGCAGTTTTTGGGCACTCGGTCTCTAAAAGGTTCGCCATCACTGGTATAGTGGAAAAAATAAATCTAAATAAATATTTTCTCTCTCTGCCTTTTAGACATAAGTAGAGTTAAACCTAGTCCATTACTTTATTTAATTCTGTCAGACCCAAATTGATCCTTCTTGCCTCAAGACAAAGCCCTGTGCAATGCCATTTAAACCAAACAATAGACATTCCTCACCCCAGCCAAAGGGCAGCTTTACAAGGCAATTGCAACATAGAGAAACTCAACCTTCCATCTCATCACCTCAACATTCCATCTCCTTCATCAATGGACTTCTCCAACTCTGCTGCCTTCCTGAAATAGAATGCCAAATATATTGACAAGATTCTGCCTAGCTTCCCCAAAAGGGCTAGCAAATCAGGTCCCTGGGATTTCCCTCCTTATGGCCCTCAATGTCTACAAAAATCTTTGCTTTTCCATCATTCAGTGTCCCCTCTTGTAAAGGTGGCACCCAATGATTGTTGTTGTAATAAAATCTGGCTCTCTTCAGTGTTGTGCTCCTTCAGATTGAATCCATGAAATTTACTCTAGCACTTTAGTAAATGCTAAAATTCTTTGTGTTCACTAGAAAATAATAATAAAAGGAATTACATATTTTCTGCAGAAAATAATGCTTTCCTTTGACTCAACAACAACTTTCAGAACAAAATCTATGGTTATGTTTGCATGGAATTGGAAAGCATAATTTTTGAGGAACATTATTATTTGCAAACATGCACAAGGACCCATATTAGAACAGATTTGAATACAACAAATATGAAAAAGAGGTAAATATTTGCAAAGTAAATTTTTCAAGATTCTGGCTTACCCACGAATGAACAGCATGTTAATACAGTTGTGTGCCTGAACTTTTGGTCAACAGGCGCACTTAATTTTTTTTCCCAACTCTGTCCATGTTTTGTTTACTTTGTCACCTAAATTAGAAACACTGGTGTATGCCTCTTGGAACAAGATAAGATCTGAAGATACAGCATGACAGCATTATATTCATTTGTTAATAACCAGAATTCTGAAAAATTCTCTTTTATTGTTCTCTGTAATTGTGACCTTTTATTTTTCTTTAATTTATTTTAAATATTTATGTAAACAGGATTCTTCATAAGTTTTGAGAGAAAGTAATAAATTCTGGATGCTGGAATGTTTACTAGTCATCAGAAACATTTTAAATCTGCTTGTAACATCCTCTCCAAAGTTCTGGCAATCGTCATACACAAGGCAAAGTGGTCCACAAGAGGAACAAAGCTTTTGTTTCATTGTTCTGACTTTATTAATAGGATGGATAGTTCTCCTTTGGGAAAGGAAATTAGCAGACTTTAAAAAGTCAGCTGAAATATATCTAACAGGGTCATGAAAATCCCACACTCCCTCTACTAATAAATAATTAAAAAATAGTAATCTGTAGTGGAAATTTGCCAAAGTAGAAAACTGAAACTGCTTTCTAAGTTTCCACAAAAAGGATTAAAAGCTTATCTAAGATTTTTTTTTACTAAGTGCTCTGGATTTTACAAACTTTTACCAGTAGACTTTATAAGCTGAAAAATGATTTTTAAGGAAGATGACCTACAGCAGTAATGCATTTCTTAGGCTGCTTTCACATTTGACTTGTGTAATTAAAATCACAAATAGATGCTGTTTTTTTATAACTAGATTGTTCCTAAGATCTTTTTTGATGTATTTTTCACATAAGTAATCATGGAGCATATAAATAAACACAGAGGTTTTGTTACAGAAAACGATTTCATACTGTTAATGTCTCCTACATAGACAGCTAAGTCATAAATTCTCATTTACAATTCATTCTACTGAATTGTAGAAGTGAACAAAGAGCAAAGAAGCTGAATATTTCAGAAACAAATAACTTGAATTAGAATAGCTTTAGAAATGCCCATTTTTGTTCTATGCACAAAAAAGTATTGATAAAATGTAACTTAGGATAATAATAATAATAATAATAATAATAATAATAATAATAATAATAATAATAATAATAATAATAATAATAATAATAATAATAATAAAAAAGTTGGAAGGGACCTTGGAGGTCATCTAGTCCAACCCCCTGCTCAGGCAGGAAACCCTATACCATTTCAGACAAATGGCTGTCCAGTCTCTTAAAAACTTCCAGTGTTGGAGCATTCACCACTTCTGGAGGCAGGTTGTTCCACTGATTAATTGTTCGAACTGTCAGGAAGTTTCTCCTTAGTTCTAGGTTGCTTCTCTCCTTGATTAGTTTCCATCCATTGCTTCTTGTCCTGCCTTCAGGCACTTTGGAAAGTAGCTTATATTGAAGAGGACAAAGAAGAATGAATTTTGAACACAACTATTAAGCACTCCTAATATGCTGTCAAATAGAAGGATGTTTAAAAATACAGCATGTGAAAAAAATCTGAACTGAAAGTTGTTTTTTTAAAACTTGCTTTTTTATTCGATGGATTATGAGACATTGTATTGAATTTTATACGAAGTAGAAAAAATAACAATTGAAAACTTATATGGTTTCATTCCAAACTATTCAATTATATCTTTAAAAGAGCACTAAATAATGCATATTAAAATGGGGGGGACTTAACATAAAAAGAATGAACAACATAGCTCTCTACTTTTTTTACAATAAATAGAAATAATTTCTAACCAACAAATTAAACCTAAACTATAGAATAGTTTTGCCTGATCTTGCCTTTCCATCAATAAAGCATCAGTTCAAAGGCTGAGAGCTCACTAAACTAACCTTTCAATCTGATATGAGTGTTTCTTCCCAGGAACACATAATCACATATTTTTGCAACAATCCAAAAGCAATATATCCCAATATTCTAATGTTTGGGAATATGATTCAACATGATTATGTTTTTAAACCTTAAGATCCTTCAGCTGACTGGTGCACCATAGTAATAATATATAACCCAAAAAGAACTACCAGTGGAGAGACTAAGACACACTAAAATCAAATTTATTACATTTCCAGGATAGGAAAATAATATTTCTTGAAAATCCATTCAAGAATTCAAAAATCTCCCCAAAAATATTTTGAGCTACCCTAATTTTCAACTGTAAAAAGCCAATATTATTAAATTCAGCAGCTACATGCAAGAAAAAGGATCTATGAAATATATATTCCAAAACATTCTGAAATCAGCCTTGTGAATTAGTGTATACAATGGTGAAAAAGTAGTGTGAATTGAGACTACTAATATGTATCAAATCTCAGTAATGTATAAGGGACAATTAAGCCAAGCGGCTGATATACTTTTACTATAAAAGCAACCCATCAGTACAGTATGTAACATATTAAAAACTAATGATTTTAAAAGATTAGGAGGTAACACATTGAAAATCTCCTGGGAATAGAAAAGTTCCTCAAATGAAATGCTTCTCAGGATTAATGTAGCAAAAGGGAATAAAGGACAGATCAGTTACATTCTGTTGGCAAGACAGTCCAAAAATGAATTAATTTGACAAGTGTTGCCAGGGAACTCTGCATGGGTCACTATTTAGCTCCCTGTCCCAATTTCCTTTAAAGCAGGAGAGTCCAAATTTGGCAACTTTAAAAATTGTGGACTTCAACTCCTATAATTCCCCATAGAGCTGCCTGGGGAATTCTGGGAATTGAAGTCCACAAGTCTTACAGTTGCCAAGGTTGGGCGCTACTGTTTTAAAGGCTCTTTTTTAAGTAGTAAAAATTAGCATGCTGTAAAGCAAAATACTTTATTCATTGTCTTTTTTTATATCTACACATGAGGGGAGTGCTGAGCTTAATGGGGGGGGGGGGGAAGGCAAGGAACAGTTTCACCAGATGGTTTGATTTCATACCACAAAACAAACAGATCTTACTCTTTTTGCTTTTTGTTAAATGCATTTAATTGACCAGGTTCAGTCAAAAAGGCTTTTTGGTAAAACCCTCTGAAAATCACAAAGGGCCCAGTCCAAATACAGCTGAAAAAAAATTGTTCCCCCTCCCCTCCATTCTGGGATATTTAAATATTTTTTAAAAAGAATGGAGGGAGTAATGCCATTTCTACAAAAAAAAAATGCAGTATGCTATATATATATGTACTTTATTTAAAATCAGACAATTTTTTAAGGTGTAAAAATAAAAAAATTGTCAGCATAAACCAAATAGATTCTCTCTAGAATGCCTTCTCTAGAATAATACTTTATTAAAGAATAAAGGATTATTTTTAAAAAATGCAGCTTTTGAATGGTGAACACTATTCCTGATCATCTTTTTTCGGTTTCCTAAAGGAACCTTCCCTTCCCATTTTCTTGTAAGTTTGGCTGATCTCGTTTTTCGTGATTTTTTAATGGGGCCTTAGCCTTCCCGAGTCGCATTTGCGAGATGGACGGCGCTACGAACGATGAATCGAATGATTCCCCCAGGGGTAGGCAACCTTGGCTCTTTTATGACTCGTGGACTTCAACTCCCAGAATTCCTGAGCCAGCATAGCTGGCTCAGGAATTCTGGGAATTGAAGTCCATGAGTCATAAAAGAGCCGAGGTTGCCTACCCCTGCCCTACCCCAAGCTGGATGGTGGGGGGGAAGCTCGCCCAACACCTAATAAAACCAAACTTTAGGATCCCGCTATTCTGAACACGTCTCGCGAGAATAACCGAGCGGGCGTAGCCGGTCTAATCTACAGCCTCAGCTGTGTTACCCACGAGGCGGTTGACATAGAAACCCAGGTAGCCAAGCAAACCTGGCGCTTAAGGGACGCGCCTGGCTGGGGTTATTTCCGAACGCCGAAGTCAAAGCAGCCTCGCGCGCACTCGGTCGGCGGGAGCATGAGAAGCGCTAGCAGTCCCCGCGCGGGCTCTGCCTGCTCCAGGCTCATCGACGTGACCAGCAACGCACCGTTGCTGCGCTCGCCCGCCAGCGTTTCAGCCTCTTCGGAAGCGGAGGTATGCTCCTCGGGCTTGCCTTCCCCGTAGCCACCCCTGCGGCGCGTCTGGAAGTCGAGTTGGGGCGACTGCACTTCTTTTCTTGTGGGTTCGAAATAAAGCAGCGCGAGTGTAAGCAGCGCCGCTACTAAGCAGCGCCGCGTTTCGAACCCGTAAGGGAAAGAAGTCCAGTTGCCCAGATTCAACTTCCCGACAGCTCTGTCTGGTTGGCTGAGAATTTTCATCAACATCTGCGAGGTGGTTTGGCCGAGCAGTGGTTCTCAACCTTTTTAATGCCACGACTCCAACCGGTCGTAAGTCGAGGACTAAACCGGTCGTAAGTCCGAGGACTTTCCCTGCCTGGGAGCGCCATGCATGCGTGGTTCCGCCCCCTGCACCGGCCGAGGCGTAGCTGGCAAGTGGCAGAGACGGAGCAGGCCGACCACCAGCTGGCCCAGCCCAAGGGAGGTAAGGCACCCGTCGGAAAAGGGGAAAAAAAGGCGGACAAAAAAAATGGTGGACAAAAAAAATGGCGGACAGCCTTGCTTGGCGACCCCCGTGAAATGGTCGATCGACCCCAAATGGGGTCCTGACCCACAGGTTGAGAACCACCGCAATAGAGATTCCCCGCCCCTAATATACATTCGTTGCGCGGAAAACCCACTGGTAATTCTTCCTATGTAGGCATGGTGTTGCATCGAGCAGCGCAAGCTGCTCAGCCCTTTCCTGATCTCTCTCCACCCACCCCCAAAAATCCCCAAAGTTCTGGATTTTAATTTGCCACTCAGAAGCCTGAAATCCAACCGGTGTCCCTTCTTACTCTTTTTTTTTTTTTGAAACCGGATAAGGAAAAACATGAATCTGAGACACATTTATCTGTTTGTAAAATGTATAGCCCGCATTTTGTTGAGATACAAAGTAGCACATGGCTTATTTCCCAGATTTTAGCTGCTAAGAATAACAGTGCAGTATAGTTTTTTTTTAAAAAAAAACTTCTGGTGAAAGTAACATTCGATAAAATCCGACTTAGTTTATATTTTTACAATTAGACAATTACCTCTTGATGATCGATCTTAACTGCTACTGTTATACAAGTAGCATTAATCAATCATGTCAGAATGATAGAACGTGGGTTACATAAACAGCCTTTTACAAAAAGCCACACCATTCAGCAGAATAGGGAATGTCTTACCCACAGAAATTCTTCAGCAGATAAAAAAGTTTGACATCTAGTTAATATTCGAATTCATGCCTTAGAGGGCTCTCTGGGTTACACATATGCCTGGAAAAGAGAGCTATGTTGAACCCAAGTTCCATCCATTTTCCATTATGACTAGTGGATCATAGGAGTTGTAGTCTGGCACATTTGAAGGGTAACCATATTAAGAAGCCTGCTTTGGCCAATAAATGGGTGGGAGAGAGAATATTTTCACCTATAGTGATAATTATCTAATTTAGTCTATTGCTTTATGATAATAAATATTCACAGAGCTAGTTCATTGTTGCACTGGACTCAGTACAGCAGCATAATATTTTTTTTTCTTTGAAGTGTATGGAAGGTGTTGCAATGCCAGACTGTATTTTTCTGATTTACACATTGTATTACAAGTGATTAAATATTTCCATAAGTCTTCCATCCACATTCCTCTTTCTTGGGAAGAAACCTGCAAACACTTTATGATTATTTATGCCTTGTCCAACCTATAATGTTTCTGTATTTTCCCCAATCCCTTCCAACCTTAAGGAATAGTTACTTAGCTTTCTTTGATTTGTAGAACTTTTTGATCTTCTTTTAATCATCTCATGGCTCAAGAAGTTTCTCAATATTGGCAGCTCCCAGGAAAGTAATCTTACTCAGATCTAAGAATATTTGTCAAACTTCAATCTGTAGACTCAGAATGTTTTTTCAGAAATCCCTAGCATTATATCAAGAAATGAAAACTATGTGCTACATATTAGTGTTAAATCTTAGTATGTATAATCATGTCATATATGTACTTCAAATAAAAAATATACTTAAAAAGTGAGGTTGCCCAGTAATAAATCAGATTCTGCATTGAAAGACTTAAACTGGAGGGTGGGTAAGCTATCAAAGTTTAGTTTGGTCAAACACAGTGGTGGGATTCAGCCAGTTTGCACCACTTTGGCAGAACCAGTAGCTATTTTTTTGGCCCAGAATGGACTTCCGGAAGCGGCATCCACACAGAGAACCAGTTGTTCACATATTTGAATCCCTCCACTGGTCAATATGTTAATTAAGGAATCCAGCAGCCAACAAATACAAAGTGGGTGGGAAGTCAATGAAAATATCAGTTATATTCTAAAAAAAAATAAAATGTTGTTGGACTCTATTGCTGGCAAATAGTCACGTAACATTTGACATAATTGGTCCCATCCAATCATAGCTTTGAGATAATAAGAAAAGCTTTAGTATGTAACATATATTTATTATTATTGTAAAGATTTACATACTACAAGTTTTATATTGCATCTCCAGATTGTATTAGCTGCTATGTGAGGAAATAATTTAAGTATATTAAATTTATAAGCTGCCCAACTCCATTATTTTATTTATGTATTAGTTTATCCCACCTTTATTACTTTATAAGATGGCAAACATACATAATATTCCTTCCTCCTCCTATTTTCCCCACAACGACAATCTTGAGGGTGGGTTGGGCTGAGAAAAAGTGACTGGCCCCAAGTCATCCGACTGGCTTTCATGCTTAAGGCGAGACTAGAACTCACAGTTTCCTGGTTTCTAGCAAGATACCTTAACCAGTGAACCAATTGGCTCTTTGTTACAATTAACTCTCAAATCATTTTATTTTTTATTTTTCCTTGTCACATTAAAAAGATTCTCATGATCAATTTTGGAAGTCTGTGAACTACATCCAGGGCACTCAGAGGCCAGACGTGGCCCTAGAACAGTGATGGTGAACCTTTTAGAGACCGAGTACCCAAAAACCTGCCTGCCCCCGCCTGTCCCTGCCCGCCCCCAGGGCCACCGGCCACCTCCATGACCCACCACAGCAGTTCGCCCAGGCGGCCCTACAGCACCATGGTGGCCACACCCTCCATCTGCGCCCTGCAGCATCATCTGTGTGTGATGTCCCTGCCCAGCTGCCATGTCCTTGGCTGTGCTGCTCCGCACGGGCCGCACCTAGGGGCAACTCTCTGGGGGGGCTGCTGGTGAGGGGGCACGCATGCCCACAGAGAGGGCTCTGAGTGCCGCCTCTGGTACATGTGCCATAGGTTTGCCACCACTGCCTTAGAATTTTTACTTCTAGGTTTAGCCACTGTATTATCCAGGGCTATTTTTGTCATAGAACGCCCAGAACTGAGTTCCGGCACCTTTTTTGGATGGAACCTTGTAGGGTAGGCAAGGCGGGTTGTATGACATGTGTGAGTTTCGGCACCTTTTTTTTTTTTTTTTACAAAAAAAGCACTGGTATTATCCATCCATAAGAAGGAACGAGGAAGCTGTCCCAAAGGTGCTTTTCCAAAAAGCTACTGGACTTTCTTGGTTTCTTTTCTTTGAAAACATTTCAATTCTCATCCAAGAAGCTTTTTCAGTTCTGAACTGAAGAAGCTTCTTGGTTGAGAAGCGAAACACTTTAAAAGAAAAAACAAAGAAAGTTCAGTTGCTTCTTCTTTGGGACAATCATGACCTGGATGATGGAGAATCTCCATAGAATGAGGAAGTTGCTTAGCTACTCTTTAGTATAATTTGCTTCATTTAAGTTTCAATAATTTAGACAATAACAACAATCCCAAATTGTGCTGTCTCCAACCATGGGACCTTTGGAGATATTGATTGGGGATTTATGAGAGATATGGTCCAAAGTATCAGGTAACACAAGGTTGGGGAAAGCTGTTCTAATGAAAAGATTGGAAATAATGAAAAAGGAGTTGCCTACATTCCTCCTTGAAGTTTCATTGTACATCAATACTTTTAGATTAAACATTCATTTCATAGGACACTATTTCAACAGCTGTGATACCTTACATAATGCCCTAACAGTTATAATTTCAATTATATTTCGGTACAGTTTTTATCTTTCGACATTCAAGGACTGAGCTGTTTCTTATTAAACATAGCAAAGGGAGTACGTGTATCTAAGATTTCTGGTTTTCTGCTCTTTATCTTTCCTTCACCCATGCTTTGATCTAAAGTTCAGAGAAAGATTTTTGCATAGCTTCCTCATGGGATCCTTCCAGGTCAGGGCCCTAAAATCAGGATGTTAAGTGTAGGATAATGCATCCACTATTTGCAAATACTTCTATATAGCTCTGAATAAAAGTGGAGTAGGGATAGTCAACATAGTTGAAAAGTTTATTCCCTTTATCTAAATATTGCATTTTTCTCTATTTTTATAGGAAAAAATACATGTTGAATGTTGACAAGTGGTAACTTCCATATTTTAAAAATAGTATACCAGATATAGAAACATGTTTATTTATTTGGCCTTATTTCAACTTATGAAGGCATTGAACAACTTCAACTGATTATATGTGACATAGTTTATATCATGGTGCCACAGGCTCAGAATAAATATAATGCCTATGTAGGAATGCTGTGGAAGATGATTACTAATTCTGGCATTGAAAGTTGTACAATAAAGCAGTTAATATGGATAATGTTTATGAGACTAGGTAATATTCAGATGATAGGGAAAAATGTGCTGACTGTTTCATGAATCACTTCAACAATGTAGCTCAGTGTTTCTCAACCTCAGCAACTTGAAGCTTTGTGGACTTCAACTTCCAGAATTCCCCAAACCAGCATGATGGCTGGATAATTCTGGGTTGAAATCCACACAGCTTCAAGATGTTGAGGTTAAGGTACGCTGATGTAACTTGTTTAATTTCCTCAGTGCACTTTTAAGTTTTAACAGAATGTTAAACAGAAATTCAACATGCATGCAACAAAGTATTCCCTTTTGTGATAAGCAATTTTATGCAAAATGCAGAAAAGGAATAACCAATATTAACCCAAATAAATTGAAGGCACGAGGTAAGAAAATGGAATATGGTTAAATCTGGTTTATCCTAACCACATGCATTCCATCTCTCCATAGCTTTCTGTCCTTATAAACCATATAATGTTTTGATTCATTGCCTTTTGTTGTTTGAAAAAGAAAAAAACATTCAGCAAAAAGGATTTTTCCTAGGGCTAAACGTGGGAGAATCTCATTAGTTGAAATAACATTTCTTATTTTTGAAAAAAAAAATCTTTATTAGAATTGTATTTTTATTGTGGTATTTGTGGTTTAGTGATGCCTCCAGAAGCAACTAACATTAAATCATTATCAGCACTGCCCTCAAAACTAAGGACTTTATGATTGCTTATTGTAAAACTCTTAAAGGCATAGGAGCCAACCAAGAAAACATCCTGGAATCATTTCTAATACAGCTAGTCCTCAACTTACATCAGTTCATTTCATGACTGTTCAAAATTACAATGACACTGAAAAAGTGACTTATGATCATTTTTTACACAACCATTGCAGCATCCCCATGATTGCATGATCAAAATTCAGATGCTTGGCAACTGACTCACATTTATGACGGTTGCAGTGTTCCAGGATTATGTGATCACCTCTTGTGGCCTTCTGACAAGCAAAGTCAATGGGGAAGCCAGATTCACTTAACAACCATGTCACTAACTTAACAGCTGCAATGATTCATTTAACAACTTTGACAAGAAAGGTCGTAAAATGTGGCAAAACTCCCTTAACAAATGTCTCGCTTAACAACAGAAGTTTTGGGGCTAAATTGTGCTTGTGAGTTGATGACCATGTGTAAATGTCCCAAAGCATCATATCTTGAAGCTCATTTTTGGGAGACAATGCAAAAGAAAACCATAGAATTTCTTTTCATCATTGGTTCCTTATGGCCCACGGACCACTTGTAGTCTGTCAAAATCCAACAGATGATCTCTAATGTCTACAGCCAGTTTCTAAGAGAGGGGGGCATATAAATTAAAATAAAATCCGGACACAAAGATTCTTTTTAATATGACCAGAATCTCAGTTGATTGCCAACATTTAACAGGATTTTCAAGTTCTTGTCCAAAGTCTTACAAGGTTCAGATGGGAACATCCCATTTGATCTGGTAGTCGTGCAAGATTTAATTCAATATATTTTTTTCTTTTTAAAAATACCATATCCAGCAAAAGAAGAAGTGTCCCATCTCAAAAGGACACATGTACCAAGTTGTCTTTTGCTGCTATACTGCCAGCCTCAGGCTTGTGTGATGGTCCTTAAAAACTGTAGTGGACCATGTAAAAGAAAAAGTAGATGATCTACCAGTACAGACATTCTTTCAGCATAAATCATAAGTTTGTTGTTCATGACTCAAAAATGTTGTACAAATCTTTATTGGGAGGTGAAGTGGGTGGGAACTATGTATTAAAGCTGAATATAAAAAGGATATATTAAGCACAGTGGGTAAAGAAGTATTAAGGAAAATTTAAAGCTGTATGCAAAATGCATGTGTTAGGAAAAACTATGTGAAACAAATTTCAAAAGAATTTATATTTCTTTAGGAAAAATGACACAATAATAATACATATAGCACATACAGACTGTTTATATTAATCAGCACATATTATAGTAGTAATGGTAATGAGCCTATTCATTAATCATAACTAAGGGCATAGACATAAAATAAAACCACAATACAAATTATAGAAAACTTAAAGGTTTTTTTTTAAAAAATTAAAACTTTCAGTGTTATACAAACATTAATTATTCTTAGGTATATCATTTTCTAAGGCTTTAATGTATTGTTTAATTTAAACCAAAATTTGTTTCATTTTATGTACATTTAAAAATATCCGTCTTTCTTGATATGTCTATATTTTTTTGGTTACATTCCTTTTTCATGCTTTTTTATAGTGATTCGAGATTTTTATTTATAGCGAAGGAATGATCAGAGATGCTGAATAATTTAAACAGCAGGTGGCACAATGGTCAACAGAAGGAGAAACCAGGGTTATGGTCCTAATACAATCACTTCTTCTATTCTGCCTTAAAAACCACAGAACAGAACGGTATCAAAGGCAGAATACTGAACAATATATTAAGCATGTGTTTCAAACAGCGGTTTGAATGAATTACGAACGGAACTGAAATTTGATTTAAGCTCCTTTGGATAATGGGTAGAAAAATACCACAACTCTTTCAAACAAAACCACACTTCTTAGATAGGTTACATGTGAATGGGTATGATTGTTGCAACAACAGTGCTCTCTCCTCTTTGGCCGTCAGCAATATGACTAGTTTCCTGCAATTAGGGAAGGGATGAGGGTCAAGTCAGGGAAATGGTAGTCACAGCTTTGTGTTACCTGGAAGATTTACACACCTAAAGGTATACTTGGCATAAAGCAATGAAATTGAAACCATTTCTTCAATGCTCCTTCCTGAAAAGCCGTTCCAATCAAAATTCAGGCAGTATCTATTCAGTAACATTTGCACAATCTAACCCGGTCAGGAAAAAGTTGCTCTTTGCGCATTGGCTGACTAAAAGGCTAATTGCCTCATTGAATCCTGGCTATGGAGACTGGGTGATGCTACTAACTTTCCAACTTCTACAACTAGGCTCTTAAAAAGGCTGCATTCCCAGCTCGGGAACAACAATCAAATATTACAATGAAAAGTTAAATTCTCAGCTTTGCGCTTTGAACAGCACTTAAAGATGAATCCTCCCCAATCCCATCCCTTTGCATTAAGTCAGAGTTGCACTGTTTATGCTTTCTTGTTAAAGTTAAATGAATAAATAAATCAAATTCTCTTCTGAAAACATTTTAAGCTAAAGGTAAATAGACAAGTGTAACAGCTGGGCAGACATCATGTTAAAAACTCATTTAGAGCACACAATGTTGATTCTTCTCACTTTCCTCTTTTCATAAATCCTTGCTTTATTTAAGGTAATTGGGCTTTCTGGGATAAGTGCTGCCAGCTGTTCTCAGAATAGAAACAATATTCAGGATTCTGACACTGAAGAGCAAAGTGGGAGAATGGTACACACATTGAAATACTAGCCAAAACCCTGATCGCAATCAGCATAAAAAGGATGAGTCTGAGCACATATGTTGTATATTTTGAAGTATAAGCTAACTTCCATATGTTACAGTTGAAAAAAATAAAGCATGTATTTTTTCACTTAATTTTTACTGTTGAACAGTAATAAATAACCCCACAGCAATAATCATCTGTGTCTTAGTTTTATGTTGCCTTTGATTTGTGACTCACTCACGGAGTCAGGGAAGTCATTTAAATTAGGGTGATGCAGTAGTTTCTGATTCAAAGAAAAAAGATGCAGTTGCTCTAACGGATTGTTGTCAGGTGCTCCATAAGCTTCTCTGTACACTCCAGAGCATCTTTTCTCCTTCAGATCTGAAGCATTGCACAGCCCTAATATAAGTCATAGTAATAAGAAATAAAGCTCAGCAGCAGGCTGTACAATTCTGACTGGAACATACATTATATGTATTGCTTTAAAATAATTCTTCCAACCTTAGTGATCACCAAAGCTGCGAGTGTTGACATATTCACTTCTGAAGCCTATAAACATTAGGCTGCAGCCTGATCAAACCTTCCCCTCCCTCCCAGTCAATATTGAAAACAGTGAAGAGGAATTCTGATTAACAATACTAGAAGGAAAGAACAAGTTAACAATACTTTCAAATAAGGCAGCTGTGTATAGACAATATTAAGATACCAAACTCTTGTCCAGTTCTTCAAAGAGTATGGCACAGCCATCTTGTAGGGGCTCCATCTGATCCCAGCCTTGGGAACTGACATCCATGTCAGCAGTGTAAGAACTGATTGCCACAATCAAGCCCCTGGAGCATCCTTTGGAATGGATGCATAAGCAATGGTAACTTGTTCAGTTTCAGTGTTAAAAACTATGCAAAGCGATAAGTGAAGAAGTAACAATAGTTATAGCTAGATCAGGGGTAGACAACCTCAGCTCTTTTATGACTCATGGACTTCAGGAATTCTGGGAGTTGAAGTCCATGAGTCAGAAAAGAGCCGGGGTTGCCTACCCCTGAGCTAGATTATAGATGGCTCCCTTTTATGTTTATATATTTTCTAAAGTTGGATACAACTGTTGGTTGAATCAGAGATTGCTAGTGTTGATCCAGGACTGATGAGATTCAGGCTCAAACCTCTACTCAACTGGGAAACTCAGTGGGCGATTCCTGTCTCTCCGCTTACCTTATTTACAGTATCCCAGTCTTTTCTGGAGAAAGCTTCAGCTTATTGGTCTTCAGACACCTACTCAAGTTTTCTACCACCTCTATGAGAGTACTTGAAGGAAAAAGAGAGAAAAGAAGTTGTGTGTCATAACCGCGGATCATCAGCTCAAATTCTAGGTGGTGTCCCAGAAATTCATATAGATTTCAGTGCTGGGTTCCTGAAGTAAACCAGCATTTTATTGACCCTGAGGAAAACAGAAGTCTTCCATACAATATGGACTCTACCACAGATGAGAGCCATGATCATCCCACTGTAGTAGAACTACTGTAAAAAAAAAGAATATTAGTCAAGAATATAAAAGTTAATAAATATCCAAGCAAATTAAATCCATTGCGCTCTATTGTCTTGTGCCAGTTATCTTCCAAGATAGTTTTCCTTCCCCACCCAGATTGGAATGAAGATCAAATTTAAAGTTATCTGAATTTAAAACTAAACTGATTTAAAACAATGCCTTTTAAAGAACTGAGAAAAGCAATAAAACAAGTAATAAGAATTCTGATTGTTTTCCATTAACCCTTGTTTTTTTGTAAAGCAGAGAACTCATAATTATTTGCTACTGGATGTTCCTGACACTCGAGAGCAGCTAGTCCATTATCGGAACGCAGCAGAAACAGCCAGCAGTGAGCTTGCCGCACTCCTAGTGAAGTACGAATGTGCCCAAGCAGAGGTATGTTTTGAAACAAATGTTTTCTCCTGCATGAAAATATTGGTTAATAACAGAGTATGTTTACTGCATGGTACATGCAATTAAATGTTTAATTAAAGCTCTCTTCTTTGGTACAGTACTTATGCATTCTAGCTATTACAACCTGCCTGTGTTTAAAGGTTCTTTTTAACACTTCCAAATTTTCCATCAGGTATTCTAGAACCATAGATATGTGAGGATCGAAGAGGTCAACTACTCCATTCCCCTGCTTGGTGCAGGATCTTTTAAAAATATTTTTGGGCAAGTGCCTGACCAGTCTCTATTCATTCCCCCTCCAATGAAAGGGGCTTTACCACTTCATGAGGCAACCTATCCCACAATTTCTTAATGTCAGGAAGTTCTTAGTAACCAGCCTGGATCTGCTTCTCTATAGTCTCAAACCATTGGTTATAGACCTATCCTCCAGAACATTCCTCTTTTTATGTGACAACCTTTTAGATATTTGAAGTCTTATCTTCTGTCCCCTTGTCCTCTTCTGCAGGCTAAAAAAAAAAAGTCCAGTTCCACAAGAATGGGTTTTCACTTCCTTCACCATCTTGGCTTCCCCCTTCTAAACCTGCTCCAGTTTGTCCATGACCCTTTTAGATTGCAGTTCCCAAAATTGGACACATTCCACGTGGAGTCTGTTCAGCATAGACTAGGACAGTTATTTCTTGTTCCTCTATCACAATAGTCCACTGATTTTCTCTTTCTCATAAGTGTTTTGAATTTGACTTGTGTAACACTCAGAAATATCTTGCATGTTCTGCATCTGTGAAGTTTATAGTTCCTTTCCCTTCTTTGCTTCTTATATATATTTTATAACCTGCTTCAATAGTGAGATGGGTGGCATATAAATTTAATAAATGTGTACCATTAGCCTCTTCCAATGGCAGATTTGCAATGGATTTTTCTTTGGTAGCTCACCCGTACTCAAGGAAAGAACATGACAAAATGCTTCACCAGGTGCCACCAACATATTTTCCTACTAATTGTGGCATACAGCTAAACAAAGGTTGCATAATGAGGTTTGTTTTATTTGCATGGTTTTACTAAATAATTTCCAATACAGTTTTTAAAACATACAGCTGTGACGGCTTGATTTTAAAAATGAATAGGATGATCCCAAAATTAATATTATTAGTTTTTGTATGTGTGAGTGAATTTTCTACTTAGAATATTTCTGAGATTTCTGGCTGGACAGAAAGATACCCTGCTCTGAAAAGTATAGGAACATTAAGCAGCAGGCATTAAAACAGTATTTTAAAGCAGAGCTCCCCAACCTTTTGGGCACCAGGGACTGGTTCCGTGAAGAAAGGTTTTTCCACGGGCCGGGGGGGGGGCATGGTTTTGTGTGCTGCCTACATCTCATGGATGGGGCTTTGCTTGTTTGTGCGGACCGGTTGCTGGCATGCTGTGGCCCAGTACTTGTCTCCATGGACCGGGGGTTGGGGACCCCTGTTTCACAGAAATGAATTCAGCATTCTCAGTAATCAGCTTAAAACAAATTTCCAGTCCTTCAAATTTCCAGTCCTTCAAAAGCTTTACGGTATACATTGTGACATTTGAGCTAGTCCTTACTTTCAGATACATTTGTTTTGGTTTGGAGTGTTAGTACAGTTTCAACAGCGACTCTTCTTCCATTTGGTCCTTTTTTGATAGACGAGCCTTGTACTGTAATGTTCTTGTGCCACAGCCCAATCTTATGCAAATAATATCTTCACAACTTCTCTTGGCCTTATTATACCTAGATACATGGAAGGACACATTAATGTGCCCATCATGTTGAGGAGTGGAATCCTAGCCATCACAAAAGTAATACTGCATAAGAAAAGAGTTCTGAAGTTTCTTAAGTTTGCTCTTTTTTTAAAAAAAGAAAAAAAGACCTAGACTATTTCTGCAAGAACAAGTGCTGCCAAGGATTGGTTCATTGTCTAGGTTTTTTGTTTGTATGATTTTTGTCTGTGTGAATATTTTGAACATTATACTAATTCCTAGATTTACTGCATGAGTCATTAATTGTGCATTATGTAGGCAGTTGTTCTTGGCAGACCCTTAATTCATTTAATTAATGTGAGAGTCAAAAGCAATTATCATTTTTTATTTCATTCTGTTAGCAGCTCCCAAAATTTCAAAGAGAAAATGTAACTTTCAACATAAGGCAAATGTTTATTATTTGTTTTCAAGCTTTTCAAACTCCCGCCTTTGCCAATTCTGTTAATTTCTGTAAACAATATATTCATTTATTGCCCAGAATAATGTTTAATTGCTTATGTGGTGAAATACAAGGAGTTTGTTATATCTTTGTTTGAAGTTCCCTTTTTAAATCCATTTCTGAACTGGACTTTTTTTTTATTACACACACACACACACACACACACATGTCACAGTTATATATTTAATTCATTTTCATTATACTTTCAAAAAACAACCCCCCTTATCACTAATTCTTGGCCCTAATCTAGACAGTCCAATAAGAGATAAGCCTCAGCTTATGGTTGAGCAATCATTTGAAGTTGTGAATGAACTGAAAAAAGTGATTTACGACCCAGGTCCTGGCATGGTGGCTTTTGCAGCACCCCCACAGTTATGTAATCACCTTGACTCGTTTGGCCTCCCGCACTCCGTGGCCCTTGTCACCGTAGGTGACCTGTGTGGTCTACTTACTTCCACTGCTGACCAAGCATGTCCAGCCTGGCCTTTCGCAAGGCAGTTGCCAGCTGCCTGAGGTTTTCTTCTCAAGGTTGCACATCGTGGTTTCCTTGTGAGACCTGGAGAAGATGACCTCATGAGGCGCCTGCCACTCCCCAAATAGTGCATCCTGTTCTTGTGATGCTTTGGAAGACTTCAGAAGCTTTCCAAATGTTTTCTGAAGGATCACGAGAATATGATGCGCTGTTTGGAGGACAGTACGTGTGATTTGGAGAATAGTGTGCATGGCCTCATGAAGAAGGCCTAGCACGACCAGCACTGCATTACAGAAAGCAGGCCAGGCATGTCTAGTCAGCAGCAGGAGGAAGATGGCAGACGTCAGCCGGGTGTGGTAGACTCTGTGGAGGCCAAGAGGGTAACTGGGGTTCTGAACTGGGGTTCTGAACTGGGGTTCTGGAGTGGCTGGCCATGGTGTGGTGATGCTTCTCAGCAGTGGTGCTGGCTGCACTGTGACTAAAGTAGAGGTGAAGACAATTTGTTTTTACCTATTTCCAAAAAGTTACAATGTCTTCCTTTTTCTTCCTGATGCTTATCCATCTTAATTATTTAATTAATTGATTTACCACCCATTTCCAAAGTTTCTAATGACTGACAATAAAAAAAAAGCATTAAAGGAACCATTCCAACAAAAAACCAACTCCCCCTCCAATAATAATAAATTCTAATAACCATGAAAAAAAATATGAAATCCTATGTGCTCCAATGCATTCTGGCATTCACAATACGTTTTTCTTCGGTCCCAGATTTTGTGGGAGCTTTGAGAATAGTCCTGAGTCCTGAAAAAGACTTTAAGGTTTGAGTAGATTCACAAAGAAGACACTTAGTTTTCCACTAAGGTTTCTATCAGAATCTATTTACTATGAAGAGCTACTTTTATAAGAAAATAGTTATTCAGATTGCTTGTCCTTCTTCTTGTTGTTGTTAGTTGCGAAGTCGTGTCCGACCCATCGCGACCCCATGGACAATGTTCCTCCAGGACTTCCTGTCTTCTACCATCTTCTGGAGTCCATTTAAGCTCACGTCTACTGCTTCAGTGACTCCATCCAGCCGCCTCATTCTCTGTCGTCCTCTTCTTCTATTGCCCTCAATCTTTCCCAGCATTAGGCCCTTCTCCAGTGAGTCCTTCCTTCTCATTAGGTGACCAAAGTACTTGAGTTTCAACTTCAGGATCTGGCCTTCTAAAGAGCAGTCAGGGTTGATCTCCTCGCTTGTCCTTCTACATATTATCTATTCAGTCTGATAATTGTGCTCTTTAATCACATTTGAAATATTTAAGTGAAAATTCCATTGCTTGAGCAATACATGGGATGCACGTGTTATAATGCTATTAAATCTGCCTTTGCAAGAAAAATACAATCAAGTAATATTTTTATGCCTATTATATTTTATTACCTATTTTTATTTATAGATTCTAGAACTTAAATCCAGAACAGCCTCGCAGGAAGTAGCTATACAAGAATTCAAAGCCGAAATTGGGGGCTATAGGGAGAATGATGCTCGCCAGTCTTCTCTCCTTTCTTCCATGCAACACAAATTCCAAGAACTTGAGAAGGAATCAGGCACAATTGCCGTTTCCAAACATCAGGCAGAGCTAAAATCACAGGCTATTCTCCAGGAGAACTTGGAGCTAAAGGAGAAAATCCATGAACAAGAAGAGCAGATCAGGTAAGAACAGCAGGAGACACTACCTTTTAATATAAAATAATTGCCACGTAGCAGTATAAAACAGTACTAGTTATGATTGTTAAGTGAGGGTGCTGGGCTCAAATAGTTGAGCTCGTTTATATGTGGACTAAGTTTGAATGTTTCTACTTTTCTTTAAAATAAATTGGAAATGTGTGTGTGTGTGTGTGTGTGTGTGTGTAGAGGTAGGTAGGATGCTATTTGAACTTTCTTCCGAGAAAGTATTGCGTGTATTTTATATTTGTATTGTATATTTGTAACTCCTCAGGCCTTCAGAATTGCACAAGAGAAATTTTAGCTAAATGAAACAAACTGAAACTTGAGTTTCAACCCAGGTCATTAAAAAAAAAAAGCCATTTGGATTTGCTTTGTTTCTCTGATGGCAGTGGGAGATATCTCGTTACTGAGGAAAGGAAGTATTTTACTGTGATATAAAAGTCTTTTTCAAGGCACCGTATGTTGTGTCATGAGCACCTGTTAAGTATTAGTTACATTTCTGATGTAAGGTACAAGATTTAGGTTTGGAGACTTTTATTTAACTTCTTTGAATACTCTCCTATTATCCTGTTCTCGGGGCTTTTTAAATGGAAAATTTGGAACTATTTACAGTCATGAGAAACTTAGATGGAGTGGGAAAATAAAAAGGGATTTGGGGAGAGTAGGGAACTCCCATTTCCTTATTGCTGCGTTGAGGTCAGTATGTAACTGACTCCTCCTTGCAGTGGTTCGGTCTTTTCTCACACCTCATTAATTTGCATGCTTGAGAATCCCACATAGGGCGTTTTAATTTTTTGGAATGACACCTGCCTCTGCAGCAGACAGTAGGGTCTATCCCACGCTGGGCGAGGAGTTCTTGAAGTCGAAGTCCACATCTTAAAGTTGTCAAGTGTTTGAGAAATACTGCTCTAGCAATGCAATTGAAATTATCCAAATTCTCCTGAATCTTTAGACTAGCCCGACCTATTGGAGAAAATGGTTGGGTCATGAACTTGTAAGAATTTGCAATAGTATTTAATTCATTTATTCTCTTCCTTTTGTTAACTTAGTGTCCTCTCTCTCTCTGTCTCTCTCTCCGTCTCTCTCTCCCTCTGTCTCTCTCTGTCTCTCTCTCTGTCTCTCTCTGTCTCTCTCTTTGTCTCTTCCTTTTGTTAACTAAGAGTCCTCTCCTCCCTCTCTCTCTGTCTCTCTCTCTGTCTCTTCCTTTTGTTAACTTAGTGTCCTCTCTCTCTCTCTCTCTCTCTCTCTCTCTCTCTCTCTCTCTCTCTCTCTCTTCCTTTTGTTAACATAGTGTCCACTCCTCTCTCTCTCTCTCTGTCTCTCTCTCTGTCTCTTCCTTTTGTTAACTTAGTGTCCTCTCCTCTCTCTCTCTGTCTCTGTCTCTGTCTCTGTCTCTCTCTCTCTGTCTCTCTCTCTCTTCCTTTTGTTAACTTAGTGTCCTCTCCTCTCTCCCTCTCTCTTTCTCTCTCTGTCTCTCTCTCTGTCTCTGTCTCTCTCTGTCTCTCTCTCTCTGTGTCTCTCTCTCTGTCTCTCTCTCTCACTCTGTCCCTGTCTCTTTTTTTGTTAACTAAGTGTCCTCTCCTCTCTCTCTCTCTGTCTCTCTCTCTCTGTCTCTCTCTCTCTCTGTCTCTTCCTTTTGTTAACTTAGTGTCCTCTCCTCTCTCTCTCCCTCCCTCTCTCTCTCTCTCTGTCTCTTCCTTTTGTTAACTTAGTGTCCTCTCCTCTCTCTGTCTCTCTCTCTCTCTCTGTCTCTGTCTCTTTCTCTCTCTCTGTCTCTCTCTGTCTCTTTCTCTGTCTCTCTATCTCTCTCTTCCTTTTGTTAACTTAGTGTCCTCTGCTCTCTCTCTCTTCCTTTTGTTAACTTAGTGTCCTCTCTCTCCCTCTCTCTTTCTCTTTCTCTTTCTCTGTCTCTGTCTCTGTCTCTCTCTCTGTCTCTCTCTCTGTCTCTCTCTCTGTCTCTCTCTCTGTCTCTCTCTCTCTCTCTGTTAGACCGTCCTGGCTTGTATCCAAATCAAACGCCAGCAGACAGGAACGGTGAACCAACAACACGTTTATTCAATGTTGAAGTAAAGTTAGCTCTGAGAACTGCTTTCCCGCAGCGTGCTTTATACCCCTCCGCCCCGCCCATCCCGGGCCCGCCCCGCCTAATACCTCCCCCATAGTCAGCCAGTTCCTCCAGTGGNTCGCCCGTTCAGCCGCTCGCCCGGCAGACCGCAACTCGGCGCCGCCCGATGACGTCCTGATGCAGTCGCCCTGACGGCCGGGTCCGGCGAGGGGCCAGCGGACGGGAGCAGAACGTGGGGACGGGATGCCAGAGGGTGAGGGTGCGTCTGTCCTCCGATCGGGCGCAGCGGGGCAGGGCGGCGATTCCAGGCCTGACACTCTCTCTCTCTCTCTAACACATCCAGTTAGGGGACTAAGTATCTCACAAGGAGATAGTCTGATGGGCTATTCCTTGTCTGGCTAACTAGGGATAGCGATCTCATTATGCTATGCAGAAAAACTGTTCCAACCCATAGAGGCAGTGATCTTCCTGAATATGAAATACCTTTTATTCTCCCCTTCCCAACTAGGGAAGTTATTGGATATGAAATCACACCTCATTAATCCTTGTAGACCTGATTGAGCATAGTGAGAGCAGTAAGGGCAGCACATATAACACCGCTGTTGCGTGAGTTGCATTGGTTACCAGTTTGCTTCTGGATCCCAATTCAAGGTTTTGGTTATTACCTTTAAAGCCCGACATGGTATGGGTCCAAGGTATCTGAGGAGCTGTCTCACCGCAATGGGGCTATCCCACACCACAGTCACCAACAAAAGAGGCCAACTACGGACCCCATCTGCTAAGGAATTCTGACAGGGAGGGTCAAGGAGAAAAGCCTTTTCTGTGGTGGCCCCATCCCTGTGAAACACTTTACCACCAGAGATTAGAACTGCTCCCACCTTTTTGGCCTTTCAGAAGGGTATTAAACTTGGTTTTGCCAATTAACGTGGGGTTTATAGGGTAAGCAGACCTCATCCCCATGCCATCTGTCTCTTACGCCTGGTTTCTTTTGTATAATTTTAAATTTTTATTATAATAAATTTTAAATCTGCAAGTCACCCAGAGACATAGGGGAGATGGGTGGCATAAAAATGAAACAGATAGATAGATGGATGGATGGATGGATGGATGGATGGATAAAGTGGAAAAGAGTTCCAGCACCATCCCATGAGAAGAAAGCATGAACTGGGTATATGTTTTTAAACATGAGAAAAGGGGTGAAAGTAATATGTGATGGGTTCCAGGAGGAAGGTCACACCAGAAGACCTATCAAGTATATAGTTGTCCAGGAAGACTCAGAGAAGTACAAGAACCTTCTAGTAAATCTAGGTGTATCTCTCTCTCTCTCTCTCTCTCTCTCTCTCTCTCTCTCTCTCTCTCTCTCTCTCTCTCTCTCTCTCTCTCTCTCTCTCTCTCTCTCTCTCTCTCTCTCTCACACACACACACACACACACACACACACAGAGAGAGAGAGAGAGAGAGAGAGAGAGAGAGAGAGAGAGAGAGAGAGAGAGAGAGAGAGAGAGAGAAGAGACTCCGGGCTTTCCTTCTGAATGGTGGGTCCCTTTTTGTTCTACACCTAGCAAGTCCAAAAGTCACCTCTTAAGAAATCTAAGGGTGACCAGAAAAATACAAATCTGTAACAAGTCAGGGATCTTCCCGATCATTATTTTCATGCTCAGGAAGTCTCGTTAACTCTGATTTAAAATTGCATTACAGTTTGGTGGCCATACAAAAGGAAAGAATCAACCTCTAATCAGTCTTAACCTTTTCCCTGCCATTTGTAACTTTGCTGCACTGAGTTACAGTCCTTATGTGTGCAAAGCAAGCTTGAGATGGAAAAAATAATAATCCAGATGCTTAACCAAGAGTTAAGGAAGTTCCCTGAGGAGTGAGATATCCCTTTTCCTGGATGATTTGACAAAAGGGTCGAAACCTAAATGGGCAATGCTTGCTCAGAACAAATGAATATATAGGCTGGCTAACATGGCCTACTTCCTGTGTAACAAAGTCATGGAGCTTTCAAGTTGTATTGATAGATGTTCTGGAGTTATTCTTGTGTTTTTTGCAGTCATCCCTCTAGAAAGAGGAGGAAGTCCCAAACAGTTTTATCTAGGGTCTTTTAAACTTTAGGAATCTTCTGCTTTTTGCAGAAAATTCAAGACTTCAAGGAGAACCTGTGTGGCATCAACTTCAAACTGGCTTACGTATGGGCAGAAAAATCTACCAGTCTGCAGCCTAAACCAGTGCGCTCACAAAGATTTCTTATGCAAAATCCTTTATGGCTGATTCTTTGCTTGATATTATTTAATTTGGCACAATGGCTTCTAACATTCTGACCAAAAGTTGTATTTGGCTGAGGAACTGTGAGATAAACCTCTATTTATTAGCCAGATTAGCAAGTTCTTCCTTTATGGAAACTTTCAATGAGTTTTTGAATATAGTGCACATTGAGACAGCAGATTGTTACGGCCGTACTCCCATCTAGAATATAGAACACAAGTCCAGATTCTTTCAGTCTTTTAATTCCTTATAGGATTAAACCACTGGATAACAAGGTGAAATTCAAGAATTATAGTCAAAGTCTCTGCTCCTCCCTCCTCTGCTTATGTTTGGAAATGCACTAAGATATACAACTCTGTATGATGCCAAAGCAGACCATGGAGCAATAAGCAACTTTCTCCTAGACTTCGCACACATTTACCTGCAAATCATTTAAAATCAGTGGGTAGAAGATACAAATTCAAAGGGTCATTCACTGGAATTTGTTCTCCAGCTGCCAGATTTCTCCAATCAAGTAAGTTTCTGGAGTAAATCACAGATCTCTGCTACTTGATTTGGCAGATGTTTCAAAAACATGGCTTATTTAGATAAGAATTATTACTGCAGACAAGACCTGAGCCAAGCAAAATACTTGATTGTCTACTGTCAATTTGCCAGTTCCTCTTGTATCTATGAAAGTTGAAACCCCTAGTTCTTCCCCCTTCCCATAAATTAATGGACTCTTGGGACAGTGCTTGGTGGCCTTGAAGTTGCCAGTTGTGTTTATAACTAGTGTAAGAACTCCTGGCTCTCGGTTTGACACTCCATCATCTTGCCTTCCATTCCTTTCTCCCTGTCTCAAAACATGTCTGGAAATACTTGGTGTCTGTTCCCTCTCCAACTTCAACTAGCCAGAATGGAGTGCTTCCTCTCTCCGCGTCACCATGGCCCAATTGTGAAAATCTCACACATTCATATTTTTCTATCCACCACTTTTGGATGTTGCTTTCCCTGACTCCCTCATCTGTTATGTAAAGTTTCTCCTCTCCCTGTCACCCTCGTATCAGAATTGCTAGTAGCTGTAAAAACATTATGGTATGGCCTTTCCAGTTTCTTGGATTTGTGAAAATACTTAGAATGAAACTGCCAACAGATGTTAGGACATATTGGAGCAGCATTGTTCTTGTGGTGAAGGACAAGCAGGTTGATGGCTACATAATCCTGAATATTTTGTCCATTATGACCCACCTCACCAGAAACTTTGTCTCCCAGGCTGTTTCAGCTGGGAGACTCTGGAGGCAGGAAGATAGATTCCTGGATTCACCAAGCATTTGTACTCAGTAACAAGGCTTGTATTGATGACCTTCCAAATCAACATATCCCTTTCCTTAGGAACAGGAGGGAGAACTGCAATCCAACAGCCAGCTGTACATTCTTCTTGCTTGAGGGAAGAAATACTGACTCTTGCTACAATAGCAGGCCAGCTGGACTTTTGGCTTATTTAAACTACAGGATTTTTGGTGGTCTCTTGTCTGAGTAGATATCACATCCAGGGTGTTTTCCTAGTCCCTTCTATTGCTCTGCCAAGCATTTACCAACCAAATCAACTGGTCTGTTGTAATTCTTCTTTTTCTCTGAAGGCCATACAATACTATTTAATTCCCCCCCTAATCTTCCATCAGTCAAGAGTTTAGACATACAGTTGTCATGGATCTCATTTTGAAAATTGCTTATCTTATTCCATGCTGAAGCTACCTTCTAAATCAGAGAATGTTTCCTTCTACATCAGCCATGTTTATCAGCCCTGAGGGATGTCCTCCATCTTCCCTTACATAGAGACACCCAGTTTATGGTCCATATTTGGAGGACTTTTCCCTCCAAATGTTACTTTGGAGCAACGTGGTTTGTGTGTTTGTATGTGTGTGTGTGTGTGTGTGTGTATGTATGTGTGTTTGTATACATATACACATACATATACATATAAGCTGACTGCTACCTCAACTTACAACACAAGTAAGCCCCAAATTTCTGTTGTTAAGTGAAGCAGTTACTAAATGAGTTTTGCCCTGTTTTACAACCTTTCTTGCAACAGTAGCCAAGAGAATTCCTGCTGTTGTCAAGTTAGTAACATGGTTGTTAAGGGAATCTGGCTTCCCCGTTGACTTCGCTTGTCCGAAGGTCGCAGAAAATGATCACATGACCTCGGGACACTGTCATAAATATGAGTCAGTTGTCAAGCATCTAAATTTTGATTATGTGACCATGTGGATGCTACAATGATCGTAAATGGGAAAATCCATCATGTCACCTTTTTCAGTACTGTTGTAACTTTGAACAGTCACTAAACAAACAGTTGTAAGTCGAGGACTATCTGTAGTCTGAGCATCAATAATGTAAATTGCCTGGCAGAAGCTACAGTGTTGAAGTGTGCAAGGGAAAAGATGTATTTTTTATCCATATGAAAAGCATATGCATAGCTTCCTTAGATGGAACCTCAACTGGGCTCTTTTGAACTTAGGAGGAACTTTTTAAATCTATGACTAATGATCTCATAAACCGTTAGGATTAAAGATGGCTTTACAGCTTGCTGAAATTTCTCTTAGATAAGCTGCATAGTTGGAACCACTTTCTGCTAATTTCCACTTGTGTATTTTTCATAATGATGAAGTGGTTCTTAGGCCAGTTTTCTCCTTCATTCCAGTGTTGCTGCTTAGAACTCAAGAAATTTCTCTACTTGAGTCTGCTTTCATCAGTCTGACCTTCAGGAGCACGCCCGATATAAGTGGGTTTTTGATAGCAGACTTTGCTCTTATTTGGACAGGACATTTTCAATTGCAGAAATCTTTGCTTGGTAAAGCTATCGAGTGAAATGGGGGCTGGGAGAGGAAGGGGTATTTTTCCATGGACAGGAAGAATGCATAGAGAAAGCATTCAAGGCTCTAGGGAACAATTTCTTCTTAGAGGAACAGTTACTGTATGCAGCACTTTTATGTTCATTAACTTGTTTTAATGGTGGGCAGGCTTGATCATCAGCTTTCTTTGAGCTCTATAATATCGGTTGGTATAATTTTATTTTGGTTGCATTTGGGAGAAGATTCTGCAGATGTTAACTGAAATAGTATTGTAGATCCTAGGCCAGTGATGGCGAACCTTTTGGAGACCGAGTGCCCAAAAACCACCTCGCCCCTGCCCCGTCCCCGTGTCTCCTGCCCGCAGGGCCACCCACCACCTCCATGGCCCACCACAGCAGATCGCCCAGGTGGCCCAGCAGTGTCATGGCGGCCACGCCCTCTGTCCGCGCCCTGCAGCATCATCTGCACGCGATGGAGCATGAGGGCGGAGTCTTTGCCTGGCTGCCATGTCCTTGGCTGTGCTGCTTTGTACCGGCTGCACCAGGAGCGACTCTCCTCTGGGGGGGCTGCTGGTGAGGAGGGGCCCACGGGGGGTGGCGGGGCTGGGACGACAGCGTGTGTGCCCACAGAGAGGGCTCTGGGTGCCACCTCTGGCACCCGTGCTATAGGTTCGCCACCACTGTTCTAGGCTCTCACTCATGATACCTTACTGTTTTTCAATCCTATTTATTGATGGTATGTATAACAATCCTGACAGTACAATTAATTAGTTAATAATAAATACTATATGAATGAAACTTATCATATTCTAAGTTACATATAATTGATTATATGGATACGCCGCATATATTTTATATCAACATTTATAAAAGGATGCTTTTCTGTATATGTACAGCATTTTTGCACTTTTATTATGATTTTTGTTTAGAAAGAAAATTCATTACTGTTTATTGGTGTTCTCTGAGTCCCATGGAATATATTTCCTAATTTGAAAATAGTATTTTCTTGTAAACAGAGATTCATTTTGACTAGGACCCCTTCCAGGGAGAGACTATTCCCCAGACCAGAACAGAAGAGGAAGATCAGCCTTGAACAACACACAAGTTTTTTTAGAATAGAAGGGGGGAAAAAGGAAGTATAATCTCTCTCTCCCCCCCCCTCCCTCCTTCCCCCCTCTCTCTGTATGAATTTGATCTTGACTCCTGACAACTGCCCAAACTAATCCCTGCAGTTTTCTTGGAAACTCACAGTCTCTTGGTTCCTAGTCTGATGCTTTAACTACTACACCAAACTGGTTCTTATTCTACTATCTATTCTCTTACATATTCACAGTTGAGGATATGATTAATCAAATCCGCAGCAATATGTGGAAATATTTGCTTAGCTAAGTTAATGAAATTATGTATTCTTGGTCTGACATAATGGTATCGTGTTAATCGCAGTTAATATAAACCACGATAACGTTATATTTTTCTTACTTATAAAATTATTTCTGCTTTGTTTTGAATCCTAATTAGAAAATATTTGAATAAATCTGAAGAAAGCAAATCCTATGCATCTAAGATCAGCAGAGAACAAAATGAACTCATTGCACAACTTTGTCATCTTCTGGAGGTGGACATAAGAGGAAACGAAGAATCACCAGAACGTCTGCTCTCCAAGGTTTTCTTTTAAAAATTATATAATAATAAAATGTGCCTCTTCAAATTAAGCTGCAGAAATAGTAGCAAAGCACCTACAGACATCTATTATACGAGTGGAGTCTTGTGAATTAAATAGGATGTCAGATCTTCCTTCCGGGACTTTTTATTAAATCTATTTCCACTCTGGGCTGTATTGTAGCCTCTCATGTGGGCCCTTACTATAAAAATGTTATAAATGTTGTTTTAATAAAACGCAGTATTAACCTGAAAACATCATGGGGCCAGCAGAAATATAATAAAAAGCTAGGAAGGATAAAAATGAAATCTTCAGGGGCAGCTTAAAGCTGCCAGAGAGAAAGTGTTATTAGGGAAGAGAGTTTTATAGTCCTAGCAGTGTTGATGTGCATTCTTCCAGTCCTCAAGTGAGCAGAACAATATATCTGCATAATTTGCACTCTCCTATCCTGACACCTGAGCTTTAATTTACCCCAGTAATAAAGCTTGTGAATGATCTTGTCCTTATACTTTATAAGCAGCAATCAAGAGATTCCCTTGGCTTCATGTCCCCTTCCATCTGTGTCAGCGGCCAGCAGGAAAAAGCTTCACACTGATTGCTCTCCTGTAAGCGTGGTGGAGTGGGCTTAGGTAAATGGAAGCACTGGGGAAGTGCTGGGGATGAGGCAAAGTCTGCATCATGAGGACAGGTCCTATGGAAATAATTACGGGACATATTTGTGCTGCAGTTAATGTAAAGTGAGGCTAAGCCATAAAGGGCCTACCTCTGGTACTGAACAAGTCCCATCTCAGGTATAATTCAGATGAATATGGCATAATTTAATCCAAGATTATTCCAGCCACTATCTGCCTGCCACTATCCCCAAATAATAAGTGTAGAGATCACTTACTGAGTTTTGATGTTACATTGCTTGTCTGTCTGCTGCTTTCTTGGTAAGGTAGTAGAACTGTATTCAAAAATAAATTTTCATGAACAGATAGTATATAGCAGTGATGGCAAACCTTTTAGGGACCGAGTGCCCAAACTGCAACCCAAAACCACTTATGCATCGCCGGGTGCCGGGTGGGTGTGGCCCATTGGCTGGGTGTGGCCAATTGGGTGGTTGTGGCCCATTGGGTGAGTGTGGCTGCGGTGCTAACGGCAGGCTGGGTGGGACTAAAAAGTTCAATCAATCAATTCCAACTTTGCAAGATCTTTTTTTTCCCCACGAGAAGTTGAAATTGACTGATTGATTGGACCTTTTTTTTTTTGCACACGGCGGCGGAGGCCTAAAGCGAAAAGGTTTTATAAAACCCAGCTGAATGCCTAGGACTGGGGCGACGGCGTGCATGCCCACAGAGAGGGCTCTGAGTGCCGCCTCTGGCACCCGTGCCATAGGTTCGCCACCACTGGTATATAGCCATGGTGGCGAACCTATGGCACGCATGCCACAGGCGGCACGCGGAGCCGTCTCTGGTGGCATGCGAGCCATTGCTGGGCTGAGCTGCTCCCTCCTCCTTTTGCGCATGTGCAGTTTGGGAATAGGCGAGAGGCTATAAAAGAAGCAACTTTCTGCAGAAGCAGCATTTGCTGCAGACAGCTTGAGAGTGAGCACGATTCGGAGCGGACAGCGAGCAAGCACGAGCTGACAGCTTGGTGGCCATGCCCACTCGGTGGCCACCCCCACCTGGCACCCGGCGATGCATAAGTGGGTTTTGGATTGCAGTTTAGGCACTCGGTCTCTAAAAGGTTCGCCACCACTGGTATATAGCTTACAAGTCTTTTTCTTTCAAGAGTTACACCAATCTAACCCTTCTTCCATGCACAATTGTAGACATATTGTCAGAGTAGTCCTCTCCTCTCCCCTCTCGCTAGCTGTCAATTGCCTGTTCTCTTAGCAACCTTTCTTTCTGGAAGTGATTTGTAAGCCTTCATTCTGAATCCAAAGAGCAATACAGGTAGTCCTCGACTTACAGCTATTTATTTAGTGATTGTTCAAAGTTACAATAGCACTGAAAAAAGTGACTTACTTTTTCACACTTACAACCGTGCAGCATCCCCAAGGTCAGGTGACAAAATTTAAGTGCTTGGCAACCGGCATGCATTTTATGACAGTTGCAGCATCCCAGGGTCATGTGATCTTCTTTTGTGATCTTCTGACAAGCAAAGTCCAGGAGGAAGCCAGATTCACTTAACATCTGTGTTACTAACAGCCACACTGATTCACTTAACAAATGAGCCAAGACAACCACAAAACGGGGCAAAATTCATTTAACTCTCTTGCTTAGCAACAGAAGTTTTGGGATCAATTGTGGTCGTAAGTCAAGGACTACCTGTAAAATACCTTTCCTGATGGAGCCATTCTTACTATCTGGGCAGGTGTGTACAGTATATGCCCAGGGAATAAAAACACATTCTCACCCGATTCAGGACCTTAAAAGCTAGAACCTGTGTTTTGAATTAGCCTTGTAAATAATGCAAAATTGGTATTATATGATCAACCCAGATAGTTCCCATATACATTCTGAGTTATGTACCAGTCTACAGCTTTAATTTGTTTTCAGCTCTTCAAAATAAATAGTAATCTGGTCTGGATGTAACCAATTTATGTTAACTGCAGCCAGCTTTTTTTTCTTCTTTAAATAAGGCTGCAGCTCACAAATTCAACCAAGCAAGTAAAAGGCACTTGGGAGCTCAAATTTTTAATATGAGCAGAAGTATCTTCAGCCCGTTTCCCTTTTGTGCCAGATCTTGGTTGCAGAAAGTCAAATAACTATGTGATGGCAGCAGAGAAATATAGAACACTGAACTGTTTGCTGCTATCTATGCTGTGGTCTGGAGTTTTGCAGCCAAGATCTGGTAGCTCTAGTTTGCTTCATCTTTGGGGACAATCTCTTTTGAAATTGACTGTAGACTTCCACCCAGATCAGAATTTCTGTGGACCCACAGAACGTTTTGTCTTAACTACTTGTACTTTTTGGGAAATTTTTTTGGAAGTCTACTGAACATGTCTTTATTTTTATCCAGTTGTTGACAATGCATCAGAGAGAGGGAGTGTTAAATCACAGAGAGCTGTTTTATTGTTTCTTGACATCCCAAATCAGTGTCTTCAGGATTGATGAAACCAGAAACTAGGGACAGCAGGGGCCAGTCTAAAAGCAAACTGCCTAGAGTTGCCCCAAACAGCAAGATGGATGATATATACATTTAATAATAACAAAATAAATCAAATAAATAAATAAAAGCAACCATTCACCACTATTGCACACCTTCTCTTTAACATATTTAATAATAGTTACTCTTCCACCTGGGCGTTCAGTAAAGCTTTTAACACATCAGTAAGATTTTATAGTTAGTGAACAAATCTAAGACAACCAGGAAAAAAACACACAGCTCATACATTGTAATCATAGGAAATATTAAGTGGGCAGAAGGCATCATGTTAAGACTCTCATTTTCAGTGGATTACATTCAATATAACAGCTGTAAGAAAATCAGATAAAGCACAAATTAAAATATTATGATAAAATACTAATACTTTAGTCAATAGTAGCATTACTATTATAATTATCATAAATAAACCATTACAAGTGGTGAGTCTGGAAAAAAAATCTAGCTAGCAGACAGCTTTGGTTTCAAAAATGTACTAAAAAAAAGAAGGATGTAATTATGGCAATAAGACAAGAAATGAAGACAATAACTGGGTCCCCGCATAATGCCATAAAGCCTTAATGAGGTTTTGTGGCTTAGCATGCTGTAAAAACCAGCCATTGTGGTTTGCAAACCAGAGTTTGTAGCTTAACACAATGGGTGACCCTAGTCAATTGTGGCTTATACAACAGATCAATATTTTCTGAGCCCTGCCTTAGCCCGCTGAGGTGTCCCATGGCATGTTCAGTGTAGCTTAATGCCTACTTTTGATCTAGACTGCAAGGAATGATAAAAGGAATGATTCAGACACTAGTTTTACTCTTCTACCAGACAAAATCTAGATTACCTTTTGTGTCTGAGTTATAATTCTGCAGTTGTCTAGCCTAAAATGTATCTTAATAGATACATTTTATTTTACCCTTGAGTCCACTCTCAAGAGGATACTTAGAAAACTGTCTTCTTCATAAGAGGAGGAAGAGATGAGTTTTGTTACCTCTTGCACGAAGACCACTTGATTCCTGTGGTCTTCATGCAAGAGGGATGAAGCCTGTTGCTCTCACTTGTTGGTACACACTTCTCATACACCGGTTGCCAGAAAAGTTGTCGTTCACCTGTGGGTGCAAGCTATTGGTTTCTAATCTCTGATTTGTTATTTTAAACTATTTTCTCCACGTTTTAATTACAAGAGGTAGAAAATTCTAACCAGATCTGCATTAGAACCACTTTGGTATCTTAGGCATTGTAAGTTTCCCCCCAAAAGCAGTTTCTTTTCCTTGGAGGGAAGATATTAATGAATGGACTGTGGTATCTGTTGCGTTATCAGGCAATCAAATGGTATATACTGCGGTGTAGGGCTGTAACAGTAGAAGTAAGATTCCCAGGTGGTTTATTCTTTGTGTTCTTAGGGTGCACACAAAGTACTGTCTTCTCATCTTGCTTTGCTTTACTTTATTTTGGATCTGGTAATTATATGAACAGCTGTTCAAGGAATATAGGCTTCCCAATAAAGATTGTGGGTTAGTCACAGCTGTGCGCTTGTGTCCATATGCACTGACAAATAGCCTGTGGTGGAGGGGGATCTGTGATTTCCTGCTTGTAGATCTCACTTCCTCCTCTGGAAGCCAGAGAAGAATGTTTCTTATCATTAAAACCAGTCCCACTGGTGAGAGTGATATCATACCTATAATGGAAGTTGCACAACTGGAACATGGAAAATGAAAAATGCAAAAATGGTCATAAAAACAGTCTGGACGAAATGGAATATTGAGGGAGAAATAATGTTGGGAGTTGGAGACTGGAAAATGTGGTGTAAAAATGAACTAAATTTGCAACAGCAACATAAATGCAAGTGAAAATGATTCCCCAGGTCCTAATAGCAAGCAAAGCATCTATTTTATAAACTAATAGGGATTCTCCTGCATCTCTATACAAGGAAGTCTAGATTAAATTCTACCATCAAGGTGAAAGTATTAACATGTGGCCACAGAGCAGACACTAAAATGCTCAATTTCAAATCTCCCTTTTAATGGTACAACTGAAATACTCCGAAGCAAAACTATTTAACTGATGATTTAGTGACACTGAAAACAACATTAAATTACCCGTTTGAACACCATATCTCACTTTGGTGCTTCCAGATCCGCGGAATGCGTAAAGAAAACGACACGCTAAAAGAACAAATAGATACCTTCAGAGAGACCGTAACAATTCATGAGATGGAACTGAAAGCCAACAGAGAAACCATCATGAGGCTTGTCTCAGAAGTGAACAAGGAGCAAAAAAAAGCAGCAGCTTGCTCTCAAGACATGGAAAAGCTAAGTGATGTATGTCTTTTAGTGCATCTTTGTGACCTTGGGGCTTTCTTTATATGTGAGGTGTTGTTTAATTGTTTGTGCACTCAGTCTGCATAACAGTGGGTGTGAATTCCTTGTAAAGTCTATTCCAAAATGTTTTCTGAGGTCTTGCCTAGATAGGAGTACTAGCGGTCTGGGATCAGAACTATCTTTTTTTTTTTTTTTTCACAATTATTGAAATGTACAGGAGCCTCTTATTCAAATTGGGACTACAGCATTGGTGATGTGGATCAACTTTAACTCCATTTTTTTTCCTTTTCTTTGTGTCATCCATCAGATAGCTGCTTTTCAGTATTGGGGGACGGTTACCAGTAGAAAGGTTTTAAGCCAAAGTTAGACAAATTGATGTCCTCCTGACATTTTACATTTTAGCTCCCTTCAGATCCAACTATCCAATCCCTTGTGAGGGAGCTGAGGTCTAACTGGATAATTTGGCATTCACGTGAAAAGTTTTTCCTAAATTTTCTGAAATGTTTATCCTATGCTGTCAATTCTTTCTGCAGTTGAATTTGTAAAATTACAAATCACAACTGTTCAGTAAAAGCAATGGAAGTTGGAGGCAACTTTGACTTCAAAGTAATGTAAATTAAAAAAATCACATATAATAGGTTCATTCGTATGTGCAAAACACTCAGTGTTTCATTGAAGACGTATCCTCATAATAAAACCTCCATCTCATGGTTGGCCTTCTGCTGAAGAAGGCTACTGTTGGATTAAGGATGTTTTAGTATAATACTTTCCACCTTGAGCCAACAGAAGACCCAGCAAGCAGACATATAAGTCCCATGAAGGAGCCTTCAGAAGATGGCAATCTGTTGCACTCCAGGTGGCTCACTGCATGGTTTCCTCCTCTTATCCAACCACTGCCCTGAAACCTTTCCGTGTTGTAATGTGTGTAAGCAGCAACACCACTCAGCCCCATTGTCAGGCATTGTAAATGTAGGCTGTGAAGGCAGCACTCAAGGATGGGAGTCTGTGCCTTCATGGCCATTCTTGCTAAGATTGGCAGAGGGACTAGGTATTTCATGGACACTGCCTGACTATCCTGATTTTTGTTGTTTGTATATGGGAATATTGACCTTATGAAAAACTTAGCCAGGGGTCTTCCAGGAGGTTGATATTCTCATTGCGACCGAAAACTGATGGCTGCACTGGATTGCAAGGTAGCCTCTGATCCTTGTCATGCACAAGGGATGACATTTCCCCAAAGGACTTTCCCCCCCCCCCAAAGATTGGAGTCACATACTGTACCAGTTTTTAAAAAGTTGTGTCCATAGCAAAGTCAAGGCATCAATCAAAGGATTTTTTTTTTAATAACAAATTTTATTAATTTTTCAAATTTTAATAACCAAGTAATTAGGAAGCAGCGTGGTGATAGGGTAATCAATAATCCAATAACAAAGTAATACATAGATATCTCAGTTTACATCAATAAAGATTCCCTCTCTATTTCCCTTAAATATTATATCACATTCATATTAGTACATTTCTAATTAAAATTCAATCAATCTATACATTTATCAATAACATTTTATTTATACATATCCAAATCCTGTTTTTAGGTTTTATTTAATTCCAATTATTATATTCCAATTTAGTCTTTTATAACCAATATTTATAATTCGGATAGGTTTAGTTTCCCTCATTTCATTATAAACTAATTCTCATGACTAAAATACAACTATTATTCCAAAATTTAAATTCTTCTTTATTCATCAATATATTCTATTTCTCATCCTAATACTCATATACTAATAACGTATCTCTCATTATCACAAATCCATTTCCCTATAACCATTAAGACTATAATCTATCAGGTTATTTTAATTTCCCTTATTAATCTAAATCCTAAATATTAAATCAGTCGATATCTCTAAGATCAGTCAAAATCTCTACAACGAAGCTGCTTAGCCCTCCAATGAATTTTTAAATCCCATTTTTAAATCTAACTCTGGCTTTCTTTTTATGCCAGGCAGGCTTCCATACCAGTGCCCTTAAATCCTCCAATGTGTCTCCCTTCATTCTCACGCATGTTGGTTGAATCAATGGAGAGCATCCAATTATCAGTTTTTCAACTGAACTGGCCCCTTTGTAGTTATTACATAATAGTTCAAATCTCGATATTTGAAATGCTTGTCATCAATTCAGTCTGGTCTTCTTTTTTCTGGGTGAAGCAAAGAGCCATATCCAATGTTGTAGTTGTTGTTTGGTCATCCAAATTGTCTAGGTTCCCAATCTGGTAGGTCTGTAGATCAGATCCTGTTGCTTTTGGAGTTACAGGTATTTTAGTTGACATCAGTATCTGTTTATCAAAGTTCTCAATAAGTTGTACATGCTGTTGAGTAGGGTCCTCTTTGATGTTAAATTGCTCCTCTTCTATTGTTTTTTGGCTTATAAGTTGAACAGTTGGGGTCTGGGGTTCAATCTGTAGTTTTGTGAAAATATCTTCAGCTTTCACTTGAGATTTTATTAGCTCAGTGGCTTCAAGGATTTTTTGAAGTATAAGTTTGTAATTAAGCTGTGGGTGGATTCCCTCCGTTTCCATGGTGATTAGCGATAGTCTTTTAGTGGAGGCTATGTTTAGTAAAGATTAGCCAATGTCCACCTCCATGCTTTTAAAGCTGTTTTCACCACCCAGCTGTTTCCCAATCTTATCTTTTTTTGCTAGTATGAAAGCCAAATCAAAAGAGTCAACAAGCCTCACAATTGAAAAAAAAAGAAAAAAGAAAGATTCCATTTGCTATGTCAGTTTTCGCCACAAGATGTCCCCCTTCGACTACAAAATCTTTTCCTAGACGCCAGTTAGCCGAAAAAAGAGGATATTTTCCAAAGTTAATGATTAGAGAAATAATAAGTCTCAGTAGTTGAATCTTTTAAAGTTCCGAAGGTATCCAAAAGTCAAAATTCCAGTTATTTAGTTATTAAAATTATTTGTTCTTTTCTTTCCCTCAACGTTTAAATTCCCAAGTATAGAAACACCACTGCATTGACAACGGGGAAGAGGTTTAAAAAGGTTTTCACAGGAAGGTAATTAGGGTAACAAGGAGGAAAGGAAGGGTCTCACCCGAATCTTCCACGATGCTTCGTTGTGCTTAGATGTAAGTTTGACTTTCGGCTGGTGTGACTAAATGAGCGGCCATGTTAATGGCCGCTCTTTTCTTCCTCGGTCCTGAGGAGTTGCCGCAGATCAAACAGAGAGGTTGCCGCCCCTCCACGATCTGGAGAAGTCCTCCCCAATGGTGGTCGCCCCTCCAGGGCGACTTTCGACCCTTTCCAGGGTCTTCCGAAGAAGGAAAACCGGACGGCGGGGAGAGCAATCTCACGGTGTGTCCGCCAGCGCCACAAACCAGAACCGGAATTCAATCAAAGGATTGTTAATGAAACCTTGATACTTTTATCTTTGGTTAAGACGGAGCTTCTGTAGGAGCTGAACATTCCAATGAATTTAGATTTTGCCAAAGCCTTTAAAATATCATCTGAACTCAACGGAATACAGAAACATGTAAAGTATTGGGAATTAAACCTAAAGAACTCAAAGATACCTTTCTTTTTGGGGAGACAATGTTGCTAATTATTTCATTTATGAAATCCCCTTCCTGATAGTTGGATTTGGATTGATGCTGTTGTGTAGATAGAGCAGAGGTAGAAAAGGCTTTCTCTTCTTCAGTTTTGCTTTTCAGCACAAGTCCTGAAAAGTGATCAGGATAGTTGATACCCCTGTTTACAGGAACTGTCGAGCACTTAAGAATTCTTTTAAAGTGTGGCCTTTTGGACTATAGGTTTTGTACATATACAGCATCTGACAAGTGTGTCTGGGCGCCAGATGGATAAAACCACAATGGAAAAGACGGCAGTGACTTTACTACAAACGTGAACATTTTGTTTTATTTTGGTTTTGCCATTAACCTTTTATGAGGCATTGGAAACTTAAACAGATGTTAATATACAATGTGTGAGTTTCTCCTCACACAACTGTCATTTGCTTATTGATGAACTGTACTTTCTGTTTTGTTATAAGATAAAAATGTATGTTTTTGTGGACAGAAATGATATGACTTGGTAAACTGTGTTAGATTAATCGGGCTGGGGTGATAACTGAGCCTGTTCTATTGTGTTGGGGAATATTTATTTCCAGTGTTAGCTATCAATATACAGTTATGATTTGTTATACTGATTTTACATTTTTTGATTTTTGATTTTTTTTGTTAGTATTAATATATACCACCTAGATGCATAAATTAAGAGTTTGGAATTCTTATACATTATATAAACAGAGAACATTTTTTTCTAAAGGAATGCTTTAAAAAGACACTTTTATATTTTTATTATGTCTCAAAATGCAGACTGGTGTCACAACTACATCTTATAACAGTGGTGGCGAACCTATGGCACGGGTGCCAGAGGCGGCACTCAGAGCCCTCTCTGTGGGCATGCACGCCGTCACCCCAGTCCTTGGCCTTCAGCTGGGTTTTATAAAACCTTTTTGCTTTAGGCCTCCGTTGCTGTGTGCAAAAAAAAAAAAAGGTTCAATCAATCAATCAATTTCAACTTCTAACGGGGAAAAAAAAGATCTTGCAAAGTTGGAATTGATTGATTGAACTTTTTAGTCCCACCCAATCTGCTGTTATCACCGCAGCCACGTTCCACCCAATGGGCCACACACACCCCAATTGGCCACACCCAGCCAATGCGCCACACCCACCTGGCAACCGACGATGCATAGGTGGGTTTTGGGTTGCAGTTTGGGCACTCGGTCTCTAAAAGGTTCACCATCACTGTCTTATAACAACAAAGCTAGCCTATGGTAGAATATCCTTTTTAAGCAAGTAACACACTTTGTACATAATTAACATTGTACATGTAATAGATCTGGTAGCTGGAAGAATTCTGTCCATATCTGAAACTTATAGACACTTGAAAACATCTTTAATAATGAGACATAGGGTTACAAGTGACATTTCTATTGGCTTTTTATCAATTTTAGCATCCAAGTCAGAAAAAAAAGTGAGACTTTATTCACAAAGTGATTTACAAAGTAGTACAGTGAGTGTTTCAATAGTCCTCCAATCAGTTCAGTAAAGAAGATACAACAGTGCTCAGATTTATGGGCCAATCAACTCAACTTTTTTACAAAGATGCTAAGGATTTCTTCATCTACAAAATGGATAGAATTAGAATTCTTATATTATTTTGGTGCTTTAGAACTCTTAATCAAGACTTTCCATTTTTTAATCAGGTCTTCTGTTTAACTCCCCTGTTGATCTGATGCATTAGTTTTGCTGCTTTTTTTCCCCTTGCAAAGTTTTAAAATGTTTGAAAAAACATTTATCTTTGCAATAAACATAAAACTCCTTCAGCTTCATATGGTATTTCTTTCAATCTTATCACGTTGCTCCTTAATTAATTTCCCCCTTGTAAGTTTTTCAAATTACAATGCCAAGAACTATGTTGTAATGCTTTATCAAAGAAGAAAACCAGCATATTCTGGAATGCTTAGTTCATTGTCATTAAATCCATGCTGGCTGTTTGTAATCATTCTGTTTGCCTTAAGTATTTCAAATTAAAAAACATGCCAACCAGCTCCCTCAATGCATTTTAATTCTAAAAGAAAAAATATTTTTCAGATGATCAATTTCTTTAACATACATGGCCAATCAAGAAGCCCCCCCCCTACAAACAAAAGATTGTGAGAAGAGTCTAACTATGGGATTTAGCTGCTTCTCTTTTGCCCATTTATTTGGAGCAAGACCCTTTTCTGCTTATCTACCATACTGATTTTATGGAATCTGTTGTTTCTAAAAATAAAAGCAGCCTAGCTACATACAGAAAGATCCTGTTTTTTATATTTCTCATATATTTTCTTTCCAGGTTCAGTCTGTTCAGCTCATTTATGAGATTTATTTTATTTTTATTCTATTTTGTTTAAAGTAATGTTACATTTTAGCAACTATGCATGGACTGGTAACCACTTTTCTAGATCTGATGTAGGGATAACCTGGTTCATGGAGATACAGAGTGAGAGAGCATGCAAAAAGAACTTCTGGAAATCTGGATAAGAATGTACGAGTTTAACGTTGCCTGGATTTATTCAGAAAAAAACACACCTACCACAAAGTCTTCAGTAAAGGAAGGAGGATAGTTCCTGTGTGGGGAAGTTGTATTTGGCCTCAAGTTTAAATTCATGGAACTATGGAAATTCGATGTGACTTTGGGCCAATTATTCTGTCTCTGCCCTACTGAAGAAGAAGGAGTAGCAGAACCTTGGGGCAGAGTTAAAAGAGGGAGCAGCCTAGAATTCCTATGTAGCCACAAGCAGATTAAATCCACCTCATCCTTGAATTCTGTTGACCCTTACCTAATTTCCAAGCAAATGCTAACCATTCGTTGAAAAGATTCCTGTGCATAGGCATGAGTAGCAATACATCTGTTTAGTTCGACCTTCACATGTGGACCAGCTCTTTCGTGCCTGACCCCCGTCTACCTCATGCAGCATTGCTGTTGTGGGAATAAAATGAGTGTCGTTTCCCATGGAAGTTGCCTTAAACACGAAGAAGAAATATGGAATATAGATTTAACAAATACCTGCATGCACAGGGGAAATATCCTCCATGCAGACAAGAATGAGTTAGCAAAGTGTAGGGAATAATGGATACAGTGTGAATTCTGCCACCTCATCATACTGTTATCATAATAAATCAGGCTTTGGGGAAAAAAAGAAAAGCCAAATGGATGCTTAATTTGGTCTCTGGGTTGGCCATCTTTCTCTTTATTGTTCAGACAGTTATTTATTTCTCTTGAGATAAGTAACATACTTAACAATAATCACATCCCTTCCTCAAAAGCCACTTTGAGATCCAGTCAGTTGTTTGAAAGTTCTTCAAATGTTGTAATAATTCAGGTTTTAATTAATGTAGATTGATAGGTACTTTAGTTCTTATGAATAGCATATTTTCCTCTTTCTGGATCCTATCATATTGGGTGTGGTATCAATACAGAACATTCCCCCCCCCAAAAAAAATAAGTTAGCAGTTGCTATAGTTTATAGAGTGAGGAAGCAATGTTGTACTTACCTGTGACAAAAAGGGGAAACATTGGAATAATACTGCAATCTGAAAATGTTTCCTTAATTTCCATAAGAACTGTAATTTATTTCTTGTCACCAGAGTAATTTTCCCCTTCCTGCCAAATCTTTTTAAGAAAAGTACCAGGGAAATTAAATTAAATTAAATGGAAGCATGCCAAAATGCAGAAAAGCAGATAATATTGGCTGTGATGGCCTCAATTAGAATAGGTTTGAATGGTGACAACTATGTATTTAACCGTTTTTGGTTTTTTTTTGTTTTTTTTTTAAAAACACCTGTATTTAAGATGGGCACAATTACATAAATAATTCTGATCCTTCACAGCTCAAATGTCATTTTGGCTTTTGAAAGTAGTCATCTCCTAACACACACATATATACACAAACACGGTCGCACGCACACATGCATGCACACACCGGCAGAGACAAAACAATCAAAATCAAAAGTCTCTAGCTTCTGTTCCACATCAGTTGTTCCCAACGTTTTCTTTTCAACAAATCCAAGAGTGCTTTTGACCAATTGTTTCTATTCATATCATTAGATCTGGCAGAAGAGGCATATTATGGCCCCCATCATTTAAGGAAGGTCATCTGGAGGGATCCAAGAAGAGAGCCATGTCTGTCTTTGAGCTTGCCCTATGGAACATCATCCCTCCCCGAGATCAGATTGGCCCCCACCTTGGCTGTATCTGTCAGTCAGAGCCTGTGAAATGGTTATATGTTAATTGTAGTTTGATTTTTTTTTACTTTGCTGCCAGTTATGTATTTTATTTTAGTTGTCAGCTGTGTTTTTACCTGTTGTTAACTATCCAGAATAACTATGGATAGACGGGCAGCCATCTAAGTGAATTAAATTCACTACAGTAAAAACCTTCATGTAACAGATCATTCAAAGTTATCTAATAATCCTGAATGTTTGTTAAGTCTAAGATAAATTATTTAGTAATTAGTACTAAATCGTATTAGTACTAAATCGTATTAGTAGTTCATTTGTATAACAAACAAAGCAAACGACACCTTTCACACCAATTTGCATAATGGTGACATTCTACAAATCTCAGGAATTGCATCATTTGCGCCAATTAATGTCCTTCGGGGAGTTAAAGCAATGTGAAGACTTTGGCAGGAGTTAAAAAGTAGCGCTTTCAGCCTTGTGGTTTGGGTGGATTGACTTTACTCAGTATGGCAAGAAACAAATCAAAAATTCCCCCTCTTTCTTTGCTGATGCTGAATCATTCATGACTTGGATCCACAATGGCATTCCATAAATAAAAGGTCTTTTGTACTTATCAAATTATTTGGGTCCAGCCTACATTATATTGAAAGAAAATCATGGCAGAAGTCAATGGCAGGACTTTGAAGGTTTACCCAACGGCACCTATTGAGGTGATTGTTCCAAATCTCTGGATTCATAATTTATTTTCTTTCAGCAGAAACTATCCATGCATCTCTTGAAAGCAAGTTTTAGTAATAGTGCACATTGGGCATCTGTTATTCTCCTGGAAATGTGTTGTGAAATAACCGTTGTTTTTCTCTGTAAATATTATTCTTGTTTTTATTTTAGGACCTAAGCAACATTGCAGGAGCTAAGCAGAATCTTGAGGAGGAGATCAGAAGCCTCCAAGACAGACTGGCAGCCAGCCAACGGGCTTGGGAAGAATTGAGCCAACTAAAGGTCCATTGCAAGGAAAAAGAATCGGAACTGAGAACTTGTCTAGAGCAGGCCAGGGAACAAAAAAAGCTGCACAATGAATTCAAAGACAAAATGGGGACTTTACTAGGATGTAATCCCATGGTGGCGACTCCATCCAAGGAAGACATTGTGGAAAAAATCCGAGAGTTGTGCCACAGAGAGGAGAACAAAAAAAGAGTATGTTAACTTGTCTTATTTTTCTTCAGCGTCCTTAATTTATTCCTGTGTATAGATTTTATTTTAGTTCACTTCAAATTAATCCACGAATTGATAGGATTGTCTAATTGTAAGTGGTGACAGAATGACATTTGATGCGATTGTTCTAAACTGACAAGACATACCGTTGTTTTATTTTGATAAAATAGGGTATATAGCAGTTGCTCTGTATCTAATGATTGCAGGAGAAATCACAAGAAAAAAAGCAGAACCCATTAAAGAAAAGCACATCTTTAAATTGCAGTCTATTAAAAGGAGCACATGGTGACCTTTATTTATTTATTTTACATTATATCCTGCCCACTTTGAACCAACTCTAAGCAGAATAAAATCTAGGAATAAAATGGGGGGAAAGAATCTCTAGACCCGTACCTATAATCCCATCCTTAAAATCATTACAAACAAAGGGCAATGAAAAGGTGATCATTTGTTGTGTATTATATATATATCCGTCCCGGTTAGTAATTTAACTATCATTGCTACAGACTTTTCATATCACAATAAATATATTGCGGTTCCTTTTTTTTTTTTTTTTTTTTTTTTGCTTAAGGCGACATTGTCACCTCCATCCGCTATCTTAGTTGATGTTGTTTAGTTCCCCCTCTCTCCTTCCCACTTTTCAGCTTGACTGTTCATGTCTTGGATTTTACTGTATTTACATGAAAGAAAGGATGCCCCAAATTTAAGACAATTTCTCTCTCTAAATAAACTTATAGATTAATCATCATCATCACTCACCAACACAGGCAAAACTTACTGATAATCAATCAGTAACTACCGATTAATACTAATTGCCTGTAAAACACCATCTCTGAAATGCAAGGAAAATTCCTCTCCTCGCTTATACTAACGAAATTACATCATTCCAACTTACTCAGAAGTGTGCAAATACAAATGTATGCAATGTTTTCTTCCCTCCTTGCCTTTCAACAAAAAGAGTAAGAATAAAACACAATTGATAAAAAATATGAGGTGGAAGAAGGAAGGAAAAAGGAAATAAAACATGAATTGAGTGTTCATGCTTTTGAGCAGCAATGTTTGTGGCCATGTGTTCCTCCCATCCCCTTCTAATGTTTATTAATGTTAACTCTTAAAACCACCTTCACTATCCAGAGGTAATATAATTTGAGGGAAAGCCTTTTATTACGGTATCTTTTCCTCTGGTAATAAATGATAGAGTAGGAGCTGTTGGAGCATCTAAACCAGGGGTCTTCAAACTTGGCCCTTTTATGACTTGTGGACTTCAACTCCCAGAATTCCTCAGCCAGGCACGCTGGCTGAGGAATTCTGGTAGTTGAAGTCCACAAGTCATAAAAGGGCCAAGTTTGAAGACCTCTGATCTAAACTTAAAGCCAAATCTAGCAGTATCCTAAGATGAGAAACTCGACCTTTTAACAAAGGGTGAAGATCATCCTTTCCGAAGGCACCATTTTATCTTAGTTGGATTGTATACTTTATAACTCTTCTACTTCATGATCAACTCTAGAAGATGATTGATTCAGCATCTAATTCTATAGAAAAGGAAAAATAATCTGGGTGATAGTGCTCACCAACAAACCGACCCTTCTTTCAGAGTCAGATTTTAAACTGCCTGAGAATAAAATAGAGCTCTTTGGTATATAATAAACAGCTTTAATCTAGTACAGTCATATGTGCTGGGGCTATAACCCAAAAGATTTCCAGCCATTCTGGTCAAATATTCTGCTTGAACATGAATGTCCTATGAGTAAGTAACAATGGCAAAGAACAGGCCTGATTTAAATATCTCTTGCAGGTATTTATTAATCAACTGTTGAGATACTCCTGGGATAATAAATCCAGCTCCACATTTGTTGATACAATCTTTTTATAAATGCATTGCTTGGATTATATTTCTTTACAGGCGAAATTAGTACAGGTAATCCTCGACTTAACAACAGTTCATTTAGTGACTGTTTGAGGTTACAATAATAGCATTGAAAAAAGTGACTTATGACCGTTGCAGCATCCTCATGGTCACGTGATCAAAACTCAGATGCTTGGCAACTGGCTCATATTTATGACAGTGGCCGTGCCCTAGGGTCATGTGATCCTCTTTTGCAATCTTTTGACAAGCAAAATCAATGGGGAAGCCAGATTCACTTAACAACTATGTTACTAACTTAACAACTTCAGTGATTCACTTAACAACAACTTAACAATTGCGGCAAGAACTGTCATAAAATGGGGCAAAATTCACTTAACAAATGTCTCACTTAGCAATGGAACTTTTGGACTCAATTGTCAAGGACCATTTCAAGATGCCTCAAATGCCCCTCAATACAGTCTAGTTTCCTCTACATTGAGGGTACATTATGTCACAGATCCAGTAGAGGTTGCTCATGAACACTTTTTAAATTTCTTGGTTTTCTGTATGATGACCCAATTGTAGTTTAAATAACTTTGGATAATCCAAATGTGCTATAAAATGCTTTTTAAAATAATAATAAGAATAAGAATTCCTTAACAAGTAAATTTCCAATTAAATAATCCAAGCTTGTGGTCAGGAAACTTAGTATAGCTATTAGTGCAGTAAAAAGGCCCACTAAACTTTCAGGATATAAAGTTGAGTGCTTGATGTTTAGTAAACAGTTGCCTCTGTGATTTATTGCAATGAGCTGGCTCAATTGTCTATGCTGCAATACCACAGCTATTTCCTGAATAGTCCTGAAAATACTCAATTGCAGAGAAATACACATGTATGGTTGGGAGAGAGAGGCAGAAATACTTTACGCCAACCTGCTTTTGGCCGCCTGTCTTGGGACTCTTAACTCCCACAATTCCCAACCAGAATCCTGCATATGGACAGGATCAGGGTAAAGCGGAAATGTTGTAAAAGCTTTCAGCATTCTCTCTTCTTTTCTGACATTTTTATGCTACTCCTCTCCCAATGGCTTTCAGCAGCCTATAGCAGAAAGATGAAAAATAATCATGAAAAGAAAATACCCTAGTTATGCTACCGCTTGTGACAAAGAGTATTGTTAGAAATGCAAAGGATGATAAAACTTATGGAACCTTTCAAATTCAGCAAGCTGCTTATGTAATCCCTCTACACCGATAACAGGACACACTTGACATCATATATTATAGAAAGAAAACACATTGAGGTGACATCCCCATGGGAAGAAGAATGGATGCCTCGGTTACAACAGAAAGAGGGTTTGGGGGCTTCATTAGTGAAAGAAGAGCACATTGCTAGGATTGACAATGGGGTTAAGTGCTCCACCTGTACCTGAATACATTTGGCAGAAATGTTTAAGGGTACTATAATATAATGGGCAAAAGGAAATTGCAGTTTTTCATAAAATCAAAGGTGGGGGGGAAAAAAGTCAAATGCATTTGCTGAAAATCTGTGACACATTCCTAGCACAGAATAGATTTGAAAAAGATGAATGTCCTATTTACATTGTTCCAGAATGATGTCCACCAGCAAGGAGAGCTTGAATTTGGAGCTCAGGAACTCAGACTATTATACAACAGCAAAAGGGGCTTGAGCATGTTGTACTATTATCCCTCAGGAGGAAAGAACATTGTGTTCTACACGGTTAGTTTGGACGTATTCACAAATTTAGTGAGCTCTGGCTTACTGAACTCCTGGCTTACTGAATCTAGAAAAGCATGCAGCAAAACCATGTATGGATTTTTTAACACACAGAAATATCATCCACATGTGGTGTATGTACACACACACACAAGCACACACGCATCATATACATGCCTATGTATATCATTGTGTATAAAAACGTATTGTTATTAAATTATTTCGTGTATCTGGCTATGCTTCAGCATCTTGCAAGGCTTACTTTTGCTGGTTGTTTGCAAAAGGAGAATATAATCTGATGTTTGTGCTATAGCTAATCATTTCTATCCCTTGGACAAAATGTCTTAAATTATTTGTTCTTCACTTTGTTTGGTCGGAACTAACTTACGATGAGCCACCTGTTTCCAGTTCCTTTCAATCTTATTACTGAAGAAATGTTACGGTGCACGGTGTACTCAGAGAGTTAAAATGAAAACTTGCATGGATTGTTCCTTTGCCTGGACTATTGTCCTCGCTGAACATCTGGGAAATGAGTATCTTTGTTGAAAACAAATTCTCTTATCTCAAGCTAAAGAATCATTGCAGTTTTAATAGCTATAAATATACTGCAGGGCATCTGAAGTCCTTTTGGTATGCTTTCAGCTGTGTGGGGAGCTTATGCATCTTGGTAGAGAACTGGCAGGCTTTTCTCTTTCCCTTGCCCATTTTTTTTATTTTTTATTTGCTGAGAACAAATGACCTCGTTCATCTTTTTGGGCCTGGAATTCCACAGATGGTTTCATCTGTGTTGGCAGGGAAGAATGAGAGCTCTCACCTAACGCATCTGGAGAAACCAAGGTTTAGAAGCTGGTTGATGTGTGCCTAAGGTTTAGCTGGTGTTCTTAGCTGCGGTTCTTCCATTTGCTTGTCTGTATTGCTGTTCATACATTTCATAACATCACCATACAGACTTTTTCTTGGGGTCTCATCCTGAGTAACGTTATCTATCTGTATCTGAGATTTTGTAATTTTAAATGCTGAAGCTTTTAGCGAACACTGCCTGCATAAATGCTAGCAAAAATGAGGCCAGCTTGCAGACACAAGGACTGCATTTGCTAGTCAGGGTAACTATTTAACAGCTTTCAAGGGAGGGGGTGGGGGACTGAATAGGAACAAAAAAAATAAGCAATAAAGTTCTGCAGAGAAATACAATTAATTTTGAACAATCTTATGAATAGAATCCAATAATGTTCATTTTATCCATTTGGAGATTTATGGAAGCTTCATACAAGTAATAAAGCATATTTAAGACAGATGTTATTGTTTCTATGGTTTTGTGTAATGGGATTTGTTTTGGTTTTGGCTATGACTGCACTAGATTAGGTTTTATTTATTACCTTCTGTTGGCTTAAAATCTGTGGCATCACAACCATGTCAACCTTAATTTTAAAATGTTTTACTACATTTCAACTGATTGAGATTCAACCCTACATAGCTATAGAAAGTAAATGTTTGCCTTATATCTTAGAACGGGGGTGTCAAACTCGCAATGTCACGTGACGTATCGTGATGTATTGCGACTTTTTTTGCCATTCCCGGCAATGGGGTGGGCACGGTTTCGCTATGATGCATCCGGCCCACGGGCCGGCAGTTTGACACCCCTGTCTTAGAAGGTATTAAGCCAATGTATTCAATAGCCATACCCATGATTCTGGGTGTGGGCATTGATCAGAATATGGTCTTATTGACTTCTTACACAATAACTTTGAAGGAAAACCCTAGGAGACCTACTGTATGTACAGTATGTCTTTATTCCAGGTCCCTATAGACCAGTGATGGCGAACCTTTTAGAGACCAAGTGCCCAAACTGCAACCCAAAACCCACTTATTTATCGCCGGGTGCCAGGTGGGTGTGGCCCAGTGGGTGGGCGTGGCTGTGGTGGTCATGGCAGATTGAGTGGGAGTGGCCAAGATGGGCATGATCACCTCAATATTGCTCGTGGGGAGGAATGCCTGTGGGGTCCGGGCAGGGTTGGGGGAGATCCAGAGGGTCTCTGCCAGGTGGGGCGGTGGGCAGGAGGCTCGTCCTGCGGGGTGAGGTGAGGCAAGGCAAGGCGAGGCAGGGTGTGGGTACCATTGTCACAGGGCAAGGTATGGCAGCGGCAGGGGCGATGCTGCCTGACACCATCGGCCCCCGCACACAGAGGCCAGCGAGTGCATGGGTGCTGGGATGTATCCGGCCATATGGGACCTCAGCAAGTTAGTGGACGGTTGGTTGAAGAGGGACGGCATGGCCTGTGTGCCCACAGAGAGGGCTCTGAGTGCCACCTCTGGCACGCGTGCCATAGGTTCGCCACCACTGCTATAGACAGTAGAGCTTGGAATCTCACCTTTGCTTGTGTCCTATTTTCCTACCCATCTTCTTATCATTCGTTCATTTAGGAAACCTCTGTACTTTATATGCAGTGTCTTTTGAAATAATTTTTTTAAAAAAGATTTTCCATGTTCATATACAGAAAGAGATGGTATTTATCCAAAATCGAACTGTATCAGCCATTCGGAGCAAATAGTTCCTAAAATATGCTGTGTGGTACCGGCAAGGGTTTTATCTGAATTTTATAGAATTTTCAAGAATTAAATGAAAGCATGGGACATTACAAGGGAAGCACTGTACACCAAAAACTAACATTGCATTAATTTCTCAGTTTTCCATAACTGGAAGTTTAATAATGGAATAAATATTGCTCTGAGACTCAGTTTTGTCTAGTGGTTAGGGCAGTGGTTCTCAACCTTTTTAATGCCACGACCCCAACCGGTCGTAAGTCGAGGACTAAACCAGTCGTAAGTCGAGGACTAAACCGGTCGTAAGTCGAGGACTAAACTGGTCGTAAGTCGAGGACTAAACCGGTCGTAAGTCGAGGACTACCCAACCGGTTGTAAGTCGAGGACTTTCCCTGCCCGGGAGCGCCGCGCATGCGTGGTTCCGCCCCTTGTGCCGGCCGAGGCGTAGCTGGCAAGCGGCAGAGACGGAGCAGGCCGACCACCAGCTGGCCCAGCCCAAGGGAGGTAAGGCACCCGCCGGAAAAGGGGAAAAAAATGGCGGACAAAAAAAATGGCGGACAGCCTTGCTTGGCGACCCCCGTGAAATGGTCGATCGACCCCAAATGGGGTCCCGACCCACAGGTTGAGAACCACTGGATTAGGGCAACAGGCTAGAAAACAGGAGATTTTGAAAACAGGATTCTAGTCCCTCTAGTCACTTTTTCTCAGCTCTAGAAAGGAGGTCATAGCAAACCTCTTCTCAAATCTTGCCAAGAAAAGTGTGGGGACTTGTCCAGGCATTCTCCAAGAATCAGACATGATTGAACAGAAAGAAAGAAAAAAAGTTGTTTAATGTAAATTAATATCAGATTCTGGCATACCTGTAAATATTCTTGCATTAGTGTAACAATGGTTATCTGGCAGGTTTATACCATTATTTATCAATAAACTTTAAGTGAGTATGTATTGACCCATTTTCATTAGCAGAATATTTATTTGAATTTTCAAGGTGTATATGAATATAATGTCTGCTTCACAGGTTGCTCTAATTGTGGTTTGTTTGCGATTGGCTTAGCATATTGTGTGAATCTAGCTTTTGCAGTTCATAAGCCACAATTTATAGCTTTGTATGATATTATATGACTTCAACCAATGGAGAAAGTGTTTTTTTTTCCAACTGATCCAGGGTAAGAAATTGTAGCTAGGTGAGTTTTGTGAATTTGACCATAGTCCATATATGCTACACTGTGGTAACTGTTTATTTCAGTGCATTAAGTCCTTCTGATTAAGTGTTCATGTTTTTCCTGTTTGTTGAGTAGCATTTTACTGCTCCTTATAATTGGTGATTTTTCTTGTGCCACATATTAGTTTCATCCTCAATCTCTGATTTACGTTTCCTTTTGTTTCCCAGATGGTATCCCAGCTTGAAGCCCAAATAAGCAAACTTACTGAGACGCTGGAGACTCAGACAATGTTGCACCAGGAGGTGTTGCAAAGAGCCAAAAAATCAGAAAATAAATCAGAAATGCTTCATGATCAGTTGATGCGTCTAGAAGGAGAGGTGGTGTCTGGAGATGTGATGCGAGATGCTTGGAAACATGAGAAACAACAAGTAATATCTTATGTTTATAGGAAGGGTACCAAGGCAAGGCAGAGAAAGCTTAGTTTAATGATGTAGTCCTGATTTTACCAAAAATAAATGTATGATCCCATTACATTGGTATAGATGTATTCACATTAGTAAAATTTGTTGAAACAATCATTTTTCAGTATGGTCAGGATGGTGATTTGAACATAAAATGTGTACATATCCATTCAGGGTTCTTTGACTATATCATACAGTACTACAAAATTGAAGTCTTAGGCAGTATGGTAAGTAACAAGATGAGAAAATATTTAAGAAAATAATCTTGGATCTTGTAGAGATAATTTACTAAAATATTTTTCACTGCCGGTTTTAGACCCCAACAGGCAATCTGTTTTGGGATTAGTATTCCAGGTAAATTTTCCTGGAAGTTGCCAGCACTAGAGAGAATATAGCAGGGGAACTTAATATATTTTAAATGAAAATAAAATGTTACTGAGAAAACAGCTCTTTACCAGAAAGAGAATAACAGAATCCAAAGTAGGTCTCATTCAGCTAATTATATTATTGAAGCTTAAAGAAAGTCCATGAGTTTCATGGGACCCTTGCAAAAGATAAAATATTTGTTCAGTTAGGATTTTTTTTAAACTTTTTTTTACTTATGTTCCCTGATCAATGAGGGCTTGTTTGCCTAACTTCAGCATGTAAACCTGATCCCAACTTTGAGTATGTCAAAATTTCATTGATTCAGTTTTCTGCAATTTTCTTCTTTAGTTTTACAATGATCAAGCTACAGTGACATGGCTTACGGCCAGTTTGGACCAAAGTCATTGGAGGCAAATAAAGCCCACTGAAAGTGAAGCAATTGTTTCATTGCTCATTCTGTTGAATGATCCTAAGTGGGTTGATATAATGTATGGATAAAAGAGTTTTGCCCTAGCAAAAAAGCTTGGAATAGTTTGCCTCTTTTTGTCTCAAACCCTATTATTTATGTACTTGAGTGTCTTCTTAATGGAGCACAGCAAATGCACATTTTTCTGTCCTTCTCACAGAAGACCAGTGTGGTAGGTTAGATAGAAATGTGCCTATTCTGAGTGCACTGTCCAAGCCTGACTATAATGAAGCTTCATGATGTAGCTTTTGGTACAGCTGGCAAGAATCATTACTCTCGCCCATCAGAGAAAGCCTTGGAAACATTCATCTCTCCAATAGGCACTGACTCAGTGAAAAATCTCTTTGGGAGGCCCAGTGTCGCATCCCCTTCTTAGGACACTACAAGGCCAGCAAGGTAGCTGTAAAAATTGCCTCAAGCCATGGTCTTCCATCCTGTGAATATAGACGTTATGGATCAGAGGAAGCTTAAAGATTAGAACACATGCATACTTCACAAACTGTGTATAGATCCTGGTGCATGCATCTCTCTAGGAAGAGTTATTTTTGCATGTCCTTTAGAAAACATTAGTACCTTTACTGTTTTCATTTGTTTGCTGAGTGAGAATGGAAGAATTCCAGAGATACAACCATTATAGCATTTAGAACACAAGAGTTTTGTGGTACCTTAAATGTTTTTTTTAAAAAAATTGTGCCTCTTTCATTAAGCTTAATTCCTGCTGATTTCCTGGAGATGTCCACTCAGTTTTCTTCATAGAGTCAAGAAGGGATAGCCCTTACTTAACAACCAGTCCTTTTACAAATGTTCAAAGTTACAGTGACCATAGAATGGGTGCCTTAACAGCCCATAAAGACCCCCAACCAACATAAATAGTTGGGCTACCCCCCCAATAACTGCCTATAGTGCAGATCAGCTTTATGACTGGTTGTGGCATTCAACAGTCACATGACCACAAGTCATAATGAGTTTTGGCTGGTTTCCAGCATTATTTGCCAGTTTCCAACAAAATGCTCAAATGAAGATCACATCCAGGAAAGAGAGACGGGCTCTCTGCCCCTCAACCTCCCTGTCGTGGGTTTATGTTTACCCAATTCAGTGGGCTCCACGACACCAGAGAGCCAACCCAACAACACAGGTCCTAGACAACATCCACATAAGCACACACAAGCATTCACAGGCTGGTACTCACAGGCCGGTATTAACTGCTCTCTGTTCCACTCTTCCCCACCGCTTCTACACTTCCAGCTCCTGCTTCTCCAGTACTACTCCTTATAGTAGTAGTCCAGTCCCAGCTGCTTCCATGCTCAGCTTTTATAGTTAACAGTTGCTATGCTGGCTAGGGAGAGCCTTAATTGGAATGGGCAACAGCAGCACAGGTGCTGGCCATTTTGTAGGCAGTCTTTTCTCTCGTACTCCCTATATCAGGGGTGTCAAACTGCCGGCCCGCAGGCCGGATGCGTCATGCCAAAACCACACCCACCCCATTGCTGGCAATGGAAAAAAAGTCGCGATATGTTGCAACACGTCATGTGACGTTATGAGTTTGACACCCCTGCCTTACATAGTATGGAGGCTACATGATGCTGTCCTGGGAGTGAGCACCATTTTGGAGTGGCCACATTGTGGTCACTCATTGTTTTCATTGTGGCCTCTCCCAAAATGGTGTCCACTTCCAGCACAGCACTATGGGGCCTCCATGTTGGAATGCTGTGCAATGGAATGGCTGCTTCCCAAAGGAGATCTATGAAAAACATAAGTGACCGAGTTATGATGAGAGTAGGGATGAAGTGAAGGACCCAGTGGAGAGGGAAGCAGACATAAGGCCTGGGGGACCTAGAGGGTAGGATGAGGGGAAGATAGGTAGCATCCCTGCAGTTGGGCATAAGGACAGGCAGATTACCAAGCAACCAAATTTTGTTCGTGTGACTGTGGGGGCATTGCAGTGGCTATGAGCAGGAGTTTAATTTCAAATGGTCTCTCAGTATATGGCCATAAGTCAAGGACTACCTTTATACTGCCATAATCCTTAATGATTCCAAGCCATTGACAGCATAAAAATGCAAACCATACAACAATATACAAAAACAATATCACCTGGATAGTCAAAAGATAAATAGACAATGCCAAATGCTCTTCAGAAAAGCTTTGTTCTGACCAGTTTCTGGAAAGCTCAAAGGCTTAACCTCTGGAGGGAAGTTGTTCCACGGAATAAGACCCATCCTTGAGGAAGACAATTTTGTGGTCTTAGCCCTCCTATCCCAACTTCAGGAAAATGAAAAGCCATTAACAAATTCTCTTGAGATAAATGTACCGGATGGTGGGTTCTGATGGCACAAAGTTGTTTGAAAATACTGGGAGCGTGGCAAGAAAGGACTTTATGTGCTAAACCAGCGCTTTAAGTTGTACCCAGAAATCTACTGGAAGCTAAAAAGAAGCCCTGTTGTGACTTTTAAGAAGTCACAGTGACACAAATTTGGAAAACCTGTGATATCTGTATTCAGAACTTTACAAAAACCAAAACTCCTGCAATAGGGCATAGCTTGCATGCTGCACTTAATGCAGATTAAACATTGGCATTCTCTGGTGGGCTGCCTGCCCCAGTTTTATTAGATGGTGTTCTCTTTTAAAGTCTGAAGACATGGACAATAACGAGACAGAATGAATATGGAGAGAAAAGAGAATCTTTTTTTGGGTCCAGCCTACTGTAATTAAAAAGAATCAAACAGACTTACATGTGTTGGTTTCTTTAGTCTTGGCCATAAAAGTCTTTTAGAAAGCATGAATTAATTAAAATAGTTTTCACATGTTACGAGTAAATGCAACTCCTTTGAGCCATATTGGATTATTTGCAAATGTCTGAAAATATATGCCTTTTAATAGTAAAAGGCAGCATGGCAAGAAAACATGAAACAATAAAAATGTAACATTTTTATTGCATTAATAAATCTTTATTTCTGTTAAAGCAGTTGTAAGAGGCTAAGAATGCAAGCTTTGTTCTGAGCAAACTGGATGCCTTTCTCCTCATATTTTCTTTCCAAAGTATCTTAAGTTTCTGGATCTGCTCTCTGAAAAGATGAACCTGGACAGCATAGCAGTGGAGATTGGATTTGACATGAGGTTGGACGCAGTGCTGGCTCGTGCAGAGCAGTTGATTAAGCTGGAAAAAGGCACATTGACTGACAATAAGATCATGGTCCGAAACCTGCAGAGGAAGGTAAGAAAAATATCTAAACAGCAGAGGTATTAATGCTTGGTTCATTTTTTTACAATATTGTAATACCAAACTAGGGCTGGCATAGTATTCATTTAAGTCTCATTCAAATCCCATCAAGGAGAGGGGAAGAAGTAGGCTCCGCTTTTCCCTGGAGAAAGAATAGAATTAGACAGTAATAAATAACAAATATTTACTATCACAGGTGACTTTTTTTAAATTTGGAAATGTAGGTAAAAGCTCAGAAAGAGCAACTTGAGAACAAAGAACTGCATGTGAAACTTTTGCGTCAGAAGATCGTCCAGCTGGAAGAAGAGAAGCAAATGCGCACAGCCCTGGCCGTAGAAAGGGATGAGGCCAATCTCACACTCAGAAAGTTACAAAAGAAAACAGACAGATTGCAGAACGAACTTTCTTTGGCGAGAGAAACAAACACAGATCTGAAAGTTAAGCTTGCTGACACGAATGAACTGAAGGTGGGTAATAAAGCCAATAGTGCAGGCATGTCAAACTGCCAGCCCACGGGCCGGATGTGTCATGACAAAACCGTGCCCACCCATTGCCGGCAATAGGGAAAAAGTCACAATACGTCACACGATGTCACATGACGTCGCGAGTTTGACATGCCTGCAATAGTGTGATTAAAACCATATTTAGAGGGGTATGGATAAAAGTGAATGGATTTGCATTTAACTTCATAATATCTGGAAGTTTTTAAGAAGAGACTGGGCAGCCATTTGTCTGAAATGGTATAGGGTTTCCTGCCTGAGCAGGGGGTTGGACTAGATGACATCCCTTCCAACATCATCATCATCATCATCATTATTATTATTATTATTATGATCATCATCATCATCATCATCATCATCATCATCATCGTCATCATCATCATCATCATCATCATCATCATCATCATCATCTATGTCTAACCTGTCCATGCCAATTTCTCCACAATAGAAAGCAATTTTGAATTGATTAGCCATGTGCCTTCTTCAAGAACCTGAAATTTAGGAGATAGCCCATACTTGACACAACTTCCAGTGTGCACTTCTTGCAAGTGATCCTTATTTGGGTAGTTGAGGCTCAGGGAAAAGTGAAATGCTTCTTGGCATCTTATATGATATTTCCCTTAGACCACTTCCATGTTTTCTTCTTTGGAATTTGTGTTCCAGATCAAAGCACTGGAGCAAGACAAAACCATAGAAGAACTAAGCAAATCCCAAGAGAAACTGGAAAAGATGAAGACCAAAGCTGAGAAGCAATTAACCTCTGTCAAGTGTGAGTTACATGTTACAGAACGTGCAGCAAAGGAAGATAAAGAAAAGGCTAAACACTTGCTGGAGTCTGTGAGTACAGAAGCAATAGCACTTAAATCAACTCTTGAAGAAGTCATGAAAAGAGAGAAACAGGTATGTGCCAAGATCACCAATAAAGTGTTATTTGCCACCTTTATCCATTCATCAGTCTAGATATTTGCCCACTCACAGAGCAGCTAACGATCTATTAAAAGGAATAATAAATTTCTAGAATAATTAAAACAACACCTTGCATTCAGAGTGATTCATATACCACACAATCATGTCCCTGAAGATAAGCTCACCAATTATCTTGATCCACTACTTGAGGGATAACCAGCTTTTCAATGCCCTACGAAAGAATGATAGGGTTGGGGGGTCTCCTGAATATTGATGGGTTAGGTGTTCCATAGGGCAGGGCCTGTTCAATAGAAAGGATTCAGAGCATGTCTGCCCTGTCAGGGATAGGCAGAAGTAATTGGAGATACGTAATCCTTGCAAGTAACATGGCTTTATGCCATGAAGGACTTTAGGGGTAATAGCCAACATCTTGAATTGGACCCCAAAATCCACTGGGGCTAAGGCAGCTCACAAATACATCCTAGCAGTTGGTGTTACTGTGCCATGTACGCTCATAGCCATTCACAGCACTGCATTCTGCACCACCTGTAAGAAATGGCCTTCATTGGCAGCTCCATGTAGAGCAATAATTGCAGTAATTCCGATGGAAAGCGTGCCAGTTTGGGTTTTGAAGCAATTTTATAAGTTCTCTTTCAATTGAAAAGAGCAAGGAAGAGGATATACAGTATAGGGAGTAAGAGCCTCATCTAATTATTACATGTGAGAATGCTAGTGTGTAGCGCCAGTTACCTGGGGAACAAGTGGGGCTATATGTACAGTTGCCTTGAAAAGAATACGAATCATTGCATTCCCAAAAGCATTAGTGCAACCCATAGGATTCATTGGCATGTCAGAAGGTTAAAGAAATCTGCAGTGAAACCATTATGGTTGATATAGGGAGCTTCGTGGGACTTTTCCTAAGGCGGGACTCTCCAGGTACCACAGAGAAATGTGAATGGAATATCACCTACAGGTTTTTGAGCGTATGTTTAAGATGTTTAATTAAGACACAGCAATAAAATGTTGCAGTCCAGTGGTCTTTTCCACTACCGATATTGACCAAATCACAGCTTCAATTATTCTGGGTCAGCTTTGTGCTATGGGGTCAGCTGTGTTTTGTTGTTTGGAGACTTGTGCAAGTACGAATTACTGAGAAGTTCTGTATATCTCTCCCCACCTCGGTTATGTGGTCTATATTGGAAAAGTCTTTATTTTAAGCAAAACAAAAAACTAGGGCATGGAGAGTGTTTTTCTCTTAAATCTTCTCTTACTTTGCCATTATTATACTTTTGCACAATCTAATTTAGGCCCAATATGTTTTTGAAATTTCATGCTAAAGGGAAGGACCCACAGATCCACGATAGGTGTCTTCATTACCACTTTCCCAAGAGAAATGTTTTCTGGGAACAATACAGAATCATCAAATGAGAACCTTTGAGCCACAAATGCCCAGTTATGAAACAGACGTGCCTGATGATCTGTGTGAATGTAACTCTAATGTTTATAGGTAGAGTTTTACTTCATAATGCCACATGAACTTACTTTTCAAAACTTGCCTTTCTTTCAAAAACAAAAATATTGCAATCTGTTACATCAAATGTCATCTATTTTAATAGCACAAGGCTAAAGAACAAACAATAATTGTAAGCCTTTGGCATGTGACCTTTCAAACACACTGAACCACAAAAGAATGTTTGAACGTATTTTAAGATAATTCAGATCATGCAGTGAGGTGTGTAATATTAAATATGTGACTGCAATGCAAATTACACAGAACTTTAAATTTCCCCCTCTATTTTGATTTTTTTTTTTGAAAAATCACAATATGCTCCAGTGTTTGCCACAAAACAATTACTTTCAGCTTCTTCCTGTCTTAATTTCTGTATTAATAAGTAGATTAAATTGAACATTTATCCATTTATCTACCTGATGTCACTCTGACTTTAATGAAAATATTAAATCTAAGCCCAGGCACCACAACTTCAGACAGGAGAAGGAGAATGTGCTTCTCTTGGGCGACATTCTTCCATAGATTTTTTTGTTTTTTGTTTACAAAGTGTCGTGAAGAAGGGTTCCAAAACATTTACTGATTGATTTGTTGAATTTATGTTGGTTGCTTTTTAGCATATAAAACTGAACACCAGCATTGAAGTACAGAATATAATAATTTAAAGATTTCAGCAACATTAACAGTTAGGGTTTTTTTTATTTTTATTCTCTCGGGTAGCCAGTTTTGAGAAAATAATTTCTTTTTACAGGTGAGTAAATATATATGTGAGCCAGTTTGATAGAGTGGTTAAGGCACCAGGCTAGAAACTTGGAAACCATAAGTTCTAGTTCCATCTTGGGCACAAAGCCAGCTGGGTGACCTTGGGCCAATCTCTCTCTCTCAGGCTTAAGAAGGAAGCAAGAGCAAAATCTTGCCAAGAAAATTGCTAGGATTAGTTCAGGCAGTTATCAGGAGTCAACAATGATTGGAAGGTACAGAAATAAACAGCAACTACAGGTAACCTACAACCACAATTGAGCCCAAAATTTCTGTTGCTAAGTGAGACAGTTGTTCAATGAATTTTTACCCATGTTATGCCTGTTCTTGCCCCAGCTGTTAAGTGAATCGCTGCAGTTGTTAAGTTAGTAAGACGGTTGTTAAGTGAACCTGGCTTCCCCATTGACTTTGCTTATCTAAAGGTTGCAAAAGGGGATCACATGACCCCGGGACACTGCGAGCGTCATAAATATGGGTCAGTTGCCAAGCATCTGAAATTTGATCATGTGACCATGGGGACGCTGCGATGGTCGTAAGTGTGAAAAATGGGCATTAGTCACTTTTTTCAGTGCCGTTTTAACTTCAGATTGTCACTAAATGAACTGTTGTAAGTCAAGGACTACCTGTATATTGCTGTGAAGCTCAGAATGCGTAGCTCATCATCTACAGAGGCACTAGGTTTGGTAAGAATATGCCACTTAATTACAACACTTACTGGGGTGTTTAGATTAGGTTTCACTAGTTAGACTTCAATTCCTGTAATTTAGAGAATTCTCGAGAAACAAACAAAGTCATTATTTTTGCTCTGTGGTGAGTTCAGTGTAGTTACAGGTTGATGACATCACTCAAGACGCTCATCTGCTAGCCACTCCTGACATCTTTCCAGATTACAGGAATATCTAGAGGAATTTCAGAAGTAGGTTGCTGTAAACCAGCATATTGGCTTGGGAGAAGACATGCAGCTATATAGTTCACCTTATTTGTTTTCCTTTGCTCCTGCAGCTGGCAGATTTCCGAACAGTCATCTCTCGCCTGTTGGGTCTCAATATCGCCACTGTGGCTCTTCCTGACTATGAAATAGTAACTCGTCTTGAGGGGTTGATCCATTCTCATCAGCATCATTGCTCTTCCTGTGCCTGCTTCAAATGTCAGTGAGAGAAGATGGACTCTCACAACGTCTCCATTGGGTGCCTCCATTTTTTTTCTACAAATAATAGTTAAAACAGTGGAAGTCCAGTAGGATGTTCCAAAAGTTAACATTTTGTTAGAGTTAAAATATTGCCTACTCTGAGGAAAAAGAACATTAAGAAGTACCAATGAAGTATCTTAATAAACAATATATATAGAATTGGGTGAACAGCTTATGCTCTCAGCATCAAAAATGAAACAAAATTCTCATCATCATCATAATCATTCTACAGACTATCCTGAGGATGGATGGGCAAAAAAAAAAAGGAAAATCTCCTGTGAACAGATCTTTCCCGATGCAACAGATCCTCCTAGGATACAAGCTTACGGTAGTGGCCAAAATTTGGAAACCTTTTGGTAAAAGTGTATTTTTGAGGTTTGATAGCTAAGAACACCATTTTTGGGGGGGAGCAGTACCATAAAATTATATATCAATGGAAAGATAATTTAATCAAGAATGTAATGCAACAAAGTTTGTTCAATTATCTGTATTGTATTCTATGAAAGATTATAGCCAAATAACCAGAAAAAGGAAGCACAACTTGCTTAGGTAGCTTTCCTTCATCTGATTGTAGCCAATGAGCATGAGTGTTTGGAGAGCCAATCAGGTGTCATCTTGTTTTGGCAATGAGCCAATCAGATCACAGTAGGATTCAGTTATTGATGTCATGTGTTGAAGCTGAGAGGAGGACATTTGTCAGTGTGTTATGTAATCACTATCAAGTTGGTTGGGATTTTTTGTGTTTTTTCATTTAGTGAGCTTGTAAAACGTAATAAAATTAAAGTAATGGTGCAAAGAGTTGACTGGTTGCCCAGAAAGCGATGTAAAATAGTATTATTAAGTAAACAAGGCTACAATTATAAAGAAATTAGAAGAAAAATTGGTGGAAACTTAACCAAAGATGGCATTTCTACTGTACACTTTTCCCAAAAGGTTTCCACAATTTTGGCCACTACTGTACAGTATGTGTCAATGCATTTGCTTTGCAAAACAAGAGAGACAAGTAATTGACAAGTAATTGACAAGTTACAAAACAGATGTTCCCATGTCTGCAGTTTTCCCGTATATAAAATATGTCTGTTTTTAGTCTGTGAGATTGTATAGGAAGTTCATAAGAACATCAGTCCATTTTTATGTGTTTATAATAGTGATTTAAATATTGCAAGAGTTCTTTAAAATTGCATCCAATTTTAGCATGTCAAAGAATTACTAAAATCTGAAGAAGAGTATTAAGGTAGATACATTCCATATGGAAATTTCAGTGCTTAAATTAAATGGAAGAAATATCACATTGGCACCAATTAAATAAATAAGATTAGCACTTGGATAGCTAAAATTAAAATAACAATTGTTTTAAAATTTAAAACATCCATTTTGGCTGCAGCCCCATGGTCCATGAAATACTTTCCACAGGGTCCTCAGATTTCTTGAATCTTAGCTTCTAAGAGCAGAGAAATGTTCATTTTAAAGGAGAAACCTCATACCACAAGCTTCCTATATGAAACAATAGCAATATCCACATTCAGTATTTCTCCAGTGTCAGGATTTGCCAAGACAGGCTGTGAATAAGTAGTATTCCAAGCCATTCCATGCTCTACCATGACCCAGAATTGGTGAGAATTATGTTAATCCTTAAATAAACTTTGTTCATTTCTCTCTTTTTGGCAACAATAGAAAGAAAGTTAAGACAAAGAAAAATCAACACAGGAAGGGACATGGTGGCAGTTCTTCCTTGTTTAAATACATAGATACTTCGAATTTCTAGCAACCGACCGAATGAACAAAGATTTAGTAATATTACAGGATCAGAGATTTAGAAGTGACCATTCATCACAGTTCAGCTCCCATAACTCAGCATCAGACAGAGATTTAGAAAATCAAAGGTTGAATACGTTCTAATTTAAGAAATCTGGAATCTACTATTCTGAACTAAATCCCCTTTAGTAATTTAAATAAATGCTTTGAAAATGTTTGCCTAAATCAGGGGTGTCAAACTGCCGGCCTACGGGCTGGATGCGTCATGCCAAAACCGCGCCCACCTCATTGCCGGAAATGGAAAAAAAGTCGCGATATATCGTGACATGTCACATGACGTTGCGAGTTTGACACCCCTGGCCTAAATCAAGTCTCACGTAGTATTTTCTTTGGTAGAAAAGCTGAAGCAATAACATTTGGATAACGGCTGTCATTTATAATAGCAGTTGCAGTGTGCATTTTTAAAAATAAACATAGATTTGAATGAGAATAAATCATTGCTGGATAGAATGTTGGGGGTCAATTTCTTTCATTCCCTTTGGACGCCTGCTGAAACAGTCTCTTCTGGTTACATGTAAAGTAGAGAGTAATTGAGTTGTATATCCATTTTCTAAAAGAATATCTAAATATCTGTTTAAAGTTTCACATGTCTGACATGTTGAACAGGTAATAGAATGTCAGATCAATAGAAAACACAGACTGCAACCAAAAGAGCTACTCAATTTCCTGTGAAATATTTGGATGGTTTATAAGATATCTTTCAATTGTAGGGAAGAGTGTCTTGTCCTTGATAACGGCATAAACCTCCCAGATTCCTCCTGGCAATTCTACCTTCCCATCCCTTCTACCTGATTTTTTGACCTATGAGTATGGCTATTTCCCCAGGTCAAAGCATTATGTACTGGCATGTTAATATCTGTTCTTTGCCCCTTGATGTGTAATCTCAAGGGGACAGAATGAAAGACCCATTTTCCCCGTGATTTAAGTTTTTAAATAAATGACACTTATTTTGTAATGTAACTATCAGTATCAAACAAGGCGGTTATGGAATAGGTATAATAATACAAGAAATGGAGTATTTTTTTTAAAAAAAGAAATAAGGGCATCCTTGAGGAGATAGGCTAGTTATAACATATTACGTAAATCAAATATCTGCATGTTAAAGCTAATAATCTGTAAATAGACTGAGCAAATGAGGCAGGGAGGCAAAGAACACATACTGAGTTAGCTGAATAGAAAATAAAAGATCACTCACAGAGCTGCTTACATTTTTCCTGCCAAATTTGTGTAATTAATTCCAGTTTTTCCAGAGGCATGGAGGCATTGGGTCTGAAATCCATACCTAATCTGGAAACAGACTGCAGTTCTACACTCTGTTCATCCCACCTGATCACCTGGGGAAAAAATAATTTCTACCGTAATATATTCACTTCCTGATTCCTATCCCAATGTCTTGTTGAAAGTGTGACTTTAGTTATAAAATATTTAAAACATGCCAGCTAACAAGCCATTCACTTAAAAATAACCAGTTATCTGAGGTATCCTTAGTGCTCTCTGAGCTTGATTGTTTTGCAGATGTTTCATTGCCCAAACTAGGTAACATCATCAGTGCTCAGTTATCTTGCAAGCCCGCAGATCCACACAACATTTTACACATTTTTCTACAAACCAGAGTGCTTTTTTTTCTATTGTGTCTGAAACTTGACAGATTTAATGTCTTAAAAGAGTAATAAAATGCCAGTGTAAACTTTAAAAAGTGTTATGCTGGTGGGTGAATCTCCCACTACAATCAATGACATACTAAAACAAATGGGGATTCAAGAAAATGAATAATTTTGGATTCTTAGAGATAAAGAGCTCTTGGTACTTAAGACATTGTACAGCCAGGACGAAATGGAAGAATTGTTGTGGAAACATGGGAGGTTTCCAGTTGGAAAGTAAACATAATTATATTGAATAAAAATTGAAATGTAATGTCACAAACAAATTGAGTAATTAAAGATTCTGGCACACTTTTGATAGGTAGTAAAGAACTACAAGAATCAAAACCAACCATAGGTGGTATTATGCATTATGGGTTTATTGATGTATGTCTCCATATTTATACCTAAGCAAGTAAAAATAAGAGATTTTGTACTACCTGCATTTGCTGGTAGTGTAGGATGTGGCTCATACCAAACTGACTTTTTCCAGATGTTTTCAACTGCAGTCCTTGAAATTGATTAGCTAATGTGGCCAAAGATCAGGGAATATGAGACAAGTAACCCATAACTCCTGGAAAAGGCATCTAGATTCTAATGGGAAGTCCTCAAAGAAGGTAGAAGCATTCTGATAAATAGCAGACATGTCAAACTCGCGACGTCACGTGACATTGCGCAACGTATCGGGATGCTTTTGCCATTGCCGGCAATGGGGTGGGCGCGGCTTCCGGATGACGGGTCCGGCCCATGGGCCGGCAGTTAGACACCCCTGGTGTAGAGGGGTTTGCAGAAGTGACAGTAAACAACACGTGGATGAATTATGCAAAATAAGTTTTGTTGTATGCAAAAGGATATATTGGTATGAGGAAGAAACAGCAATCCTAAGCATACTTGTAAAGAACCTTATCTGTTGTAAATCTACTTCTGGCAAGAATTAAGGATAGCTGTTTCTCTACTACTACCCAGAGGGTGCTCAGAATGCGAAGAATATTGCTCATAATTACCAAGTGGCATGTAGACATTTTCACCCATTTGCTACTGATAGTCCTCTAAAGAACAATCTTCAAAATATTTTGGTTATGCTGCAGGTGATTAATTATAGGGTACTGTCAACATGAACAATGTTTAACAAAAAAGGCTTTGAAATGGTAGAAAACAGTGAAATAGCAAAGAGACATTAAACAAAATCTACTGGAAAAAATATTTGGCAGCCTTAAAGGTCAGAATCTGATTTGTAGAATGTATGAAGACCACAGATACTTTCTGATTTTCAAGAAATGTTGGATGTAAGTTCTATTAACAGTAGGCATGTGATATTTTATTTAAGAGAGAAAATGAATCACAGCTAACCATCATAATGGCTCTGTAGGAGGCTCTAGATTGGGAGAGGCTAGGAGTATATTTCCATATTTATTGTCAGCCTCACTGGGAGTTCTCCAACACAGTGGGAGGGATTACTTTTTATTGTTTGCCGACAAAATTAAGATGTTTCTAACTTTCCCTATTTTGTAAGATCTCAAAGCATGTTATAATCAATAAAACCAGTAAAACCATAGAAAGTGGTTCAAGAAAGCTGACCACTGAACGAGTTTTTTACTTCTTTATTTCATCCCATATGAGTAAAAAAACATGGAAAGAATGTACAACAGTGCATCACCTAACACTAGAGTTCGTAAAGGCAGGTAATTATGACCTATACAGTATGTAAACACAGGTAGGTCTTAATTAGTCCAGCCTTAAAAGAGGTAGTGGTATGCCCCTACTTCAAGAGGCTGTCCCTGGACTCAGTGGTTTTATAATTATTGCTCTGTCTCCACTTTCCCGTAGGAAAAAGATTGTAGCTGCAGAGAACCCTGGAAAAAGTGCATTATTTAGACTCATTTCAGTCATGTTTTAGG